CCGGCCCTGGGCCGGAGAGGCCACGAAGGCAACCAAGGAGTGAGGAAGTCGGAAGAGTTGATGGTTGCCCATTCAGTAATGGTAAAGTGTCAGGATTTGTTCTCATGTTGTGTGTGCAAACACATGGCCTGTGTTTTGGGCTATGTGTTTGCGTTGTCTTTTGTTGTTTACCACGCCCCCTTGTTCTCCTCGTTAGTCTTGATTGTTCATCGGTGTCACCTGTGCCCTGGTGATGATGTCCCTTATTTAAGGTCCATGGGTTTGTTACAAAGGTCCTTGGGTTTGTTCGTTTTGTATCTTGTCATCCTGTTCTGTGAGCTGTGTATTCCCGTGATCAGAGTTTGTATCCTGCCTGTTAGTTCTAGTCTCATGTTATTGTCAAGTTTATTAGTCTAGTCTTGTCAACGTTCGTTTGCCCCCTCGTGGGTCTTTGTTTTCTGTCCGTTTAATAAATCTGTGTTTTATTTATTACTGTCTGCGTTTGGGTTCATATCCACATATCGTGACAGAAAGTTGCAGTTTTCCTCTGAGTTGGATTGAAGAAAATACAGTCTGACTCTGTTGGGAGAGTGAAAGCATAGCAGGCTGTGGTCACACCCTGCGGGTCCCCACAACCCGAAGAAACAGCAGTGAAGGCCAGAAGCAAGAGAGGAAGTCACTGTGAATTGGTCTCTAATAAAGCCTGAGAAAGGTCCCACCTCCAAGCGGTTTCCAAGCGGGAAAATTCCTTTGTGGTTGATTTATGAATCTTTGTTTTAAGCATGCTCATTTGCATGTGCAGCTGGATTTGTTTCTGATGAAGAAGCTAAGAAAGATTCTTGTAATACTAATATGTTGCACAGCTATCGATATATCATGTACACAATCATTTCGATCTGCAAAGTACCAATTTATAGAGACCAAACATAGTATAGCCTATAGGTGACCATTGATTCTATTGTAAAATACACAGCATCAACAAAATAATAGTATTAAAATATATTACAATAGACAGTAAATCATTCGCAAAATGTTCTTCATGTTCATTTATAGATCAGTTTGTCTATAATTAATGCAGCAAAGTCTGTATTAAAGGCTGTTTCTGTCTTCCCCATCGTCTCCATCTTGAACATGTGACCACATTTTTAACAGCAATAAAACCAACTTATCTGATCGTGGTCATGGTAACTGAGACCTTCTTGCCCTTTTGGGGGGATGGGCCCACAGATCCCAGAGTGAGTTTAAAATATTATTTGTTAACTATAACAAATACTTGTGTCTGATTTGTCTCAGTCGTTACACAAATTACTGGGCAACTCATTGCGACTGCAATGCTATGTCAGCAAACTTATTTTTACGTTCCATTACACAATGAACAATGTACACTATTTACACAGTAAATAAAGTGCATACACAATATAAAAAATGTGCAAACATAGTTTATGCTGTACAAAATGAAATGAAATTTAAGAGACTAACCTGTATGCATTTTATTTCAGGGGTGCCAACTTCTTCTACATTTTTCCAAATCTACTTGTTGGATGCATTGGCAAGGTGGAATGGAGCTACTGCTGTTACCTCTGAGAGCCTGAAGGCAACCTCATCTTTTCTTCAGCATGCTGTCAACCAGCTTGAAGAGGAGGTGTTTCAAAAGAAGTTTCTGTCTACTACTAGTACAAGTAAATACACTGGTTAGTTAAATATTAATTCCACACAATTAATAAAACATATGCTTAAAACGTGATTGTATATGTTTCTTGCTGGCCAATGCATTTATTTTCAACTTCCTTCTGTTTTAGGTGAACTGATTGGGTTGGAGTACCTGTGTCGGCAGAATGGCCATGCATTCCAGGACAGCAAATTTATCATTAGACAGATGGAAATCACTGACGTCCAAGTGGCCAAAAGTGAGAGCTATTCCAAAGAAGAGGACGTCTGGGATTGGACGATCACACAGCAGTCCGCCCCATCTCTGTTAGAAGATTCTCTATCAATGTGTGCATAATATACTAAAGTTTTCCACAATGTTTTGGTTGTATGTCAAGTATACACTTTCAAAATATTAATGTGCATCATTAATCTTTTCCAGGATAAGCAGAGGCTCCCAGTTTCAGGTGGAGGATCTCTTTACACCCAACACATCCTCACTGGCGAATGAAATGACGGCTCCAGAGAAGGTTGTTTCCGTAAAAGAAGAGAATAGTATGGAGATTTATTGTGATGACAAGCCCCTCTTTTCAAACTTGCCTCCAGACACTGTGATGGAAACCAACAACACAACTCAAGAAAAAGCCTCACCAGTACAACCTGCTCCGGCTGAAACCCAGTCAGGTTCATCCTTGACTTTGCCCCTCCTGCTTTCTGGTCCTTCTCTGTCAAAACAAATGATGGTGGTTTTAACACCTTCCACACAAAAGATTGATGCACCAGCGAGTTGCCAATTGGTTCCTGTTCCTTTCACCACACAATACAACTGGAAGAGAAAGCTGGTCAAGGAAAAAGACGGCAGTTATACCAGGAAGTTTGTACGACGATATGTCCAGTGCAGAAAGTGCAATAAAGAGAGGATAACGTCATTTCATCGGTGGTATTATGGTAACTGGTATTGTCAGGAGACAGACATAAAACCTTTTGCTGAGTGGAAGGCTAAACTGTTAAAGCGCAGTTCAGGGAGGAAGAAGTTCTGAAGGGTGGGATCACCAATGCACATCCAGCTACATTGCTCCTTTCATTTCAATTTCATTTCATTTTAACTACGTTTGTGATTTTGATGCTTCAAGTTATAACCTAAATATAATTACTGTGCTGCAATAAAATCATTCATTGCATGACAATGGACCTGAACTGGTTTGTAAACATTACTCAACACTTTTACATGAACAATGAAGCATGAATTTCTTCATAATTGTTTTATAGGGAATCTTTTATTTTTTTATTTATGCTTAACGTTTATCATTTATTGCAATTGGCACCTCATTATAAACCCTTCTATTAATAAGCCATAAAAAAACAAACATTAACAAAGTTTAGTCTAAAAAAACACTATCTTATGCTGTGCTTAAAAAATGATTATGCAACATAAATTAAATATTATATATCCTGTTGTAGATAAAGATAGAATATTGTCTATTTGTATACCTATATTTGTTTTTACTTATTTACATAATATTTTCTTCAAATCAAACCTCTCACAGAATCAGATTTATCCACGAGTCATATATCAGCCTCACCATCTAAATCACTTGCAGAAATTAAAACGTTTTGCCCCGTGGGAGGATCGAACTCACAACCTTCATATTATGAGGCGGACGCGCTACTTACTGTGGTAGGTAGGCTCACTAGTCTGTGACGACACACTTTGCAAAGGCTTCTGGGAAAATATAAATATAGCTAGTTCACGATTTGAATTAGTGATTGATGCCTTTTATTTATGTATGTATTTATTTGAGGAAAAAATGTGCTTTTGTCGAAATAGTAATTGGTAAGAAGATCCTTAGAAGTTGCCAGATAACACTGCAGAACACGAAATCCAGGGGGAGGAGTTGGATCCCCACCCCTAATCCTACCCATCTCCACCCCCTGATCCCTAACCCCACCCCTAATCCTACCTATCTCCACCCCTTAGATCTGGATCCAACTCCGCCCCCTGGATCTCGTGTACTGCAATGAGGTGCTTTGGAGATAACTGCGGATGTCTACAATGTTTACGCTGTGGCGACCCCTAACGGGAGCAGGCGAGGGGGAGAGTTGTCTTAATTTTTTTATTTGGTGTAGAGCTCTATTTGTGTGTATTTTCATTAAATATGGTTAATATTTTACTTATCCCTAACCCAAAAAAAGTTCTGCTAGTGCAAATGACAAAACATTTCCTTAGGCTTTAAATTATTCACATTCACAAATAATAATGTGGTTCCGAAAAAAGAGAAAACTAAATAACTTCAGAGATTATAATTCAATTACAACATCACGCAAGTAGTCAAAGAACAACTAAACAAACTACAAAACCGTTAACTCTATAAAGCCTATACTGTATCATATTTGATACTTTAATTTCTAAGGCCTCTAAATGATCAACTTTGCTGCAAAACCTGTTGCACACAATCTACTACATGCCTTCTGTTCTCCTAGTAAAAGGCATTAAAAAAACTTCATGTTGTGGTACACGTGTCTTTCTGCTGTGAAATCTTTATTGATTTTTAAACGTAAGAATTACTTTTATATTGTTAGTAATATTTCAAGATAAACATTTACTGCAGAGAAGCAACTTGATTTGCTTGATTGTCCATAGCCATACATCAGACAAATCTGGTTAAATGTACCAAAGGTCTAAAACAGACCTTTGAAGAATGATTATTTGTGCATCTCTCAATTCAATCATTGAATTGCATTGCATTATTTTGTTTACTATTTTTATAATAATAATAATTAGGCTATCATAAGTATTATTATGTTTTGCCCCCCACAATTAAAACTTATAGCTTTGATCCTATAAACCATAAGCATTTATATGCCATATCATCTTAGCAAGATATGTTATTGGACATACAGGACGAAGACTGATATGCATTTTTTTTTTGTAAGTAGTCTTGCTAGGCCTACTGTTATAAAGATCTCATTGATTTACATCACAAGGTATCAACATTTTTGACCATATAAATAACAGGAACTGCACCAAATTACATATTGCATTTGCTCAGTTTAGGCCTCTGAATAAAATTCAGGTGTTTCTTCCCTCCTTGAGTGTGAGCTCCATATTCTCACTACTATACAATAGCCTACTGTATGTGCTATGAAAGTCTAATGTATCAAATATGATATTAAACATAAAACACACATGCACATTTTTATTTAGGCATAGACTTTTCTAATATTTTGTCTGAAGGTTCAATAAACTGCTTTACATGATTAAACTATTGAATATATATTATTTATAAAGTGTTTACAGAATGATGTTTAATTATATTCAATGCCAAACGGCCAAAAAAGAGAAAAACTTCATCTCCCACAATGCCGTTCGTTTCCTCTGCTATCTCGCGCCTTTCCATCTTGTTCCTCTCGAGAGCTCAAGCGCCGTAGTTGTTGTTGTGGTATGTAATAATGGCGGCAGCAGGAGGCGGATTACCAGCCTCGGCTGTAGTAGCAACCATAAACACCTCCGCCACCGTTCGCTGCCGTTTCCCAGGTCGACCATGGACGTCTCGGAGCCTGTTGAGGACAGAGAAACGCTCTCATATCGGTCGGGTGAGGGATGAAGACAGAAAAGGGCCGAGGCCCGTCGACGTTGGAGCTACGCTGAGAGAGGATCCGTCACTGTCGTGTTTGCTCGGGCTGGCGGAGAAACACAGGCTCCAGCGCGAGGCGGGATTCTGCACGAGCGGGAGCGATGAGGTGAGCGATTCGCCTAGTAATACCGTGCTAATAATTCACAGCAAGTGCATCATCAGCATGTCGCTGAGTGGCTGATGTCAGTTCCTGCAGAGATGCATCCACCTGATTACAGTTGCACGGTCGTGGGCTTTACAGATTACAGAGATGAAAAGTATTTAAAGGGACGCCCGTCATATGGTGGGCTTTTGCCGGGCTGTGGCGTTCACATCGCGGGTGTTTAACTGTGGCTGACGGTGTTGCCGTGGCTACGGGGATTGTGTGTGGGACAGTGAAGGTGTGGTGTTAATTAGTTATGAGGGAGTTTGTGTACAGTTATCAGCTTTAAAACTTAATGTCAGTGTTGCTGACTGGCCTGTTCGTCTTAATAGTTAATATTGGTTATTTATGTTTAAGTAGGCGTGGTGTGCATCAGAAATAAGGTACAGTAACTAATTATGTATTCTGTCAGGAATCGCCATTGGATGAGTAAATATAGTATTGCATGTTTGTAAAAAAATATATATCCCAGATCCATTTGTACAAGAACGTAAGGTAGCATTGTTTACTAACAAGTTAATTGCTTCGGTAACTCTTTACAATAAGGTTAATTAGTTAACATGAACTATGAATTAACAATACTTTTTATCTTCAGCATTTATTAATCTTAGTTAATATTATAACATTTACTAATACACTATTAAAATCAAAGGTTGTATTTGTTAACAATAGTTAATGCACTGTGAACTAACAATGAACAGCAGTATTTTATGACCTAAACATTGACAAAGATTAATAAATACTGCAACAAATGTATTGCTCATTGTTAGTTCATGTTAGTTAATACATGAACTAATGTTAACTAAATGGACCTTATTGTAAAGTGTTACCATTGCTTCATATCATAGTAATCTTGTTAATCAGACACTACCTGTTAGAAAACAAGTTCATTTTCATTCTGTAAAATTTCCTCAGTAAAATTAGTGAAGCTTTATTTGAGTTTTCTATATCCAATTTTTATTTTGCCAAGTTGGTGATTAATCCTGCAAAGCCAGGCATATAAAACAATAGTCAGAAAAAAGATTTTTATTAATTAAACCGTTTGTTGAAACTTTAGACAAAATATTTAAAACTTTATAAAAAAAATTTATGGCTCTTGTAGTATGATCTAGATAGAATAGAATATGGATCGTTCACTCAAGGAGAAAAAAACAACACTTTTTTTCAGAGGCCCAAACTGAAGAAAATAGTTTAATTGGTGCAGATTTTGTAATTAATATACCAAAAAGATAATATTCTGATAGCTTGTTGTAATGTAAATCAATGAGATTTGTTTATGACGGTATAGCAGACTACTACAAAAATGCTTAAATGTTAGTTGTCATTCTGTTTCCCTTAATAATAATATATATTAGTAAGGTGAATAAGTTTTATGATCAAAGCTCTGCAGTTTTCATTACAATGTACCATGATCATTGAGAGATCTCTAATTTGACTTTAGTTGTTCTTACATTATGTTTATTATAGTCGATGTATTTCTTTTAGGGATACTACTGATTTCTTATCATGATCGGCCAATACCGATCCTGATCATTCAAGCTTGATATGTAAGATCACTGATAACTTTTTTTCTTTCAAATAAAGTAATACCACAGATGTTGCCTTGGTTATATTATTTATAGTAATGTTGTAATTGTTGTTTTAATTGAGAATCCAAAAAAAAAGCACAACAAATATGAATTTTACAATGAACATTTTAATAGGTCTTGAAAAACAGAGCTTGGGCAAAAAAACTATCCATTTTAGGATACTTCGGCTTATTAAAGAGCTTGACTAAAACAGAACATAATTTAATACCGGGTTTCTGTACCTCAGACGCCGAGAGGAGATGACACAGGCGTAATATCCTGTACGTATTTTGAACTTAATGTGAGTAGATTAAAACAATGTCCGGTAACATGCATACTGTATGCCTATCTGAGTGTGGTGTAACCATTCTTATTAGCAAATAATCTGAATATTGAAAATTGCATGTAAACTGGAGTGAAGAGCTCTGCTCGTCTCATGTAAACATCAAGACCTTACTCTGATTAAATAATCACAATCACGTTATGGTGCACATGTAAACATAGTCAATGAGCACCAGCCTTACTAGGTTTTCCTTAATTATGGGGACTTTTTCAGAAATTCCCATAATGCAGTCTGACTCAAAGCTGAGCCAGTATAGAACTCATCTTGAGCTTTTATATCACACATTGTAGACTGATGCAATCCGATTCTGTGCTTTGAAATTCTGAGGTATCTGCAATCAGTCGGTTATGCAGCATCATCCTTCCTTACATGAGAGGACAGTTGCAGTACTGAACTTGATTTCTTCAGTCTGAATCCTTATGACTCATGAGTATAAGTATCATTAAATGGTTTATGTCAAGTCAGGCTTGCATGCATTGATGTTTCTGTCTGTAGACATATTCCCCTGATCTATTCCAAATGTATAATTAGGTTAGATTGACGATTTAAAGATTCTATTTTGTGTAATGCATATAAGTTTTATGGAAATATCCTTCTAAGTTTGCTAAGTTTGCTGATGTAATGAATGAACTTGTTACCACTTATGTGAAGTTGATGCTCTGTTAGTTGCACTTGGCAAAATCTATTTTTCTTTGAAAAATAGCTTATTGACAATGACATCTTGTGAATAAATGTTAGGGATGGGACGATACACTTAAACTCACGATACGATGCACCTCGATATGCCAGGGTCACGATACGATACGATATCAAAAAAGGAAAAAAAAGGAAAAAATATTACTGTATTACAACAACTTATTTATTTTTGTTTCAGCTGCACACAGGGAAACACAAGGCCTAACTGGCCAAACACAAACAAGAACACTCCCTTAGTGCTGCTCTAATCCTAGGTTAAGTTATCTCAGGACTGGTTCTTCTTCCAAAAAACTAACATATCAACATGTTCTGGTGTAATCAGTGATCTTTGAGCAGACACAATGTCTCCTGCTGTGGAAAAGACACGCTCACTGGGCACTGATGTAGCACACCGGTATATATATACATTTGACTCCATGGTCGGCTGTTTGGGGGCAAGGCAGTTGATGCTAATGCTAATATTTGTTAGCTCGCTGTAGACTGCAGTGTTGTTGTTGCCATAGACATTATATGTCTATGGTTGTTGCAACATGCGCTGTCTTGACGTGATGACGTACCGCACCGTTCCCCGGATATACATTTTTTTTTCATTTAGTTTTACCCTGCTTGATCAGCAGATGGTCCTGCCAGCCTGCCACCATAGACTGTATGTTTGCCCCATATACATACACACACAGATATAATACACTAAATTATTTATATACTATGCAAATCATGCAGCAGTGCCATCTATCTTTATTTCGCGATCCATTTTTTTTTACGCATCGAGGTAAAATATAATTTTTTTTTAAAATGGAAAAATATACATTTTCCCATTTTAATCGATTCTCATTTTGAAGAACCGATGTCGATTCGCTGTATTCAGTTGATGAAGAAATAAAACTTTGTAGCGTGCCTCTCATCCAATAAATCGCAAGAAGCGTTGTGCTTTGTTAGTTTTGATATGAAACAAAGTCTCAGCTTTCAGACTCTGTCACTTTTATTAACCTAACCTGTAACCTAATTCAGTTTTGTGATGAGGACTGTTCTCTTCTGTGTCAGCGTTTCTCACTGCTCACTATATTAGAGTGATTGAGCAGGTATCCCATGTTACGCATTGAAAAAATGAGTTTTGTGTTTAAAGCCTGGCCTTAGTTTTCACGGAAATAGTTGTTTGTTGAATATTTGTTATGTATAACACTGTTATCAATCCATCAGGGATTCTGTAGTGCTAAATCGTCTATCCCTACTGATAATATTTTAAATGAATTTGATGCTAAATGATTAAAAATATAAAACTACATGTAGTTTTGTGGTGATGTTTTATCCATCTTTCTTTCTCAGGAAGGAGACTTCACAGGCTTTAAAGTGGACGGTCAGTCGTCCTTGCGGTCAGGACAAGGTTCATCCAGTGAGTGTTTCAGCTGTTTTTTTATGTCTAAGCAATTTGATGATGTTAATTCTAACATTAGTTTGGGCTTCGCTTTTACACGTGCTAGATTTTATATTAAACATTGTCATTCAGACCAAAATTGATCTACTAAAGAAAAGTGTGTTTGTTATTTTTTTGTTTCCTATGTAATTCTTCTAAGCTATGTATTTAACATGGTGTTGATAGTTGTAAATATTGGTATTTAACATGGTGTCTCTTTAAGAGAATAGGATGTGAATGTTTAGAGGATGTATTATTTAAGCGTGTAGGGGGCATAACTTCCTGTGTGATCATATCAAATTTTCATGTTACGATGATTGCTGAAGCTTTTATCATGGTATACGGTATTATCACGATATTGAAATGAGTAAAAAAAAAGCTTTATTATACTATAACAGGTTTAATAAATGCTTTAGAAGATTTTTTTTATTGTTATTTTATGTTAACCAATGAATTAACTAATATAACCTTATTGTAAAGTGTTACCTGTCAATAATAAAGAATCAGCACATTTTTTAATCAATATCTAGGGCATGTTGTAGTCCAGATTACAATGTATTTTATTTATATTTAAATGTGCATTCATTTCTACATATTTTTACATTTGGATTAGCTATGCTCATTTTAAGTATATCTTGAATTTAAATTAATCTTTTCATACATTAAATATTTTTTTCTAGCATTTTATTTTAGTTTGTTTGTCTCAAATATAATGAAATAATAAATACATATTCAATAAAATACGTTTTATTCAAAGTGTGTAAAATGTTAATATTGAAATTGTGCCTGTATTTCTAGGTTTTTATTTTTATGAATGATAAAATGTTTAATTTTTTTCTTGCATTAGATATAAAATCATCATTATTGGACAAACCTAACTTGAAAGGCAGAAGGTTATCCAGAACTGACCAAAAATCTGCGAGGCCCAAATTGGTTATTAAAATGGCAGCCAAAAAGATGACCAAAAAAGAAACGATACAAGCAAAAAGGCCATCTGTGGATAAAGATGGACATCTGAAACAGGGCAGCTCAAGTAAGAGAAATGGCAGGGTACTCAGAAACCAGAGAGAGGGACCATTGGCCTCCTTGCAGACTGAAAATGGGGTGGATGGGGCGTGTGAAGAGGAGGAGATCACTGGAAGGTCACAAAGACGTGGTTCCAGTGCAGCACAAAGCAGGAGAAGGCAGGACAAATTAGTGTGGACTTTAACACTGGTTAAAGGAAAAGAGCGAGCCTCCAGAGTAAAAGACACCAAAGGGCAAAGAGCTTCAGCAGAATATGCTAAGACCCACAAGAACAGGACAAAAAAAATTGCCGGTAGTGAACAGGCTGGTGCTGTATCCTCAAAACCAATGGGCAAACAGAGAAGGGGCAGAATGACAAAAGCAGATGATGAGCCTCTTGAATCCCTTGGCGGAGGTGCTGGAGCATCTTTAAGTGACAGTTCATTAAGTTCTTCCAAAAAGAAGCCTTTTGTAAGGCGACGAAAGAATATATTTGGCCGTCGAACTTTACTGCAAAAGGAAGTGCCCCGCAAAGTACCTGACAGTCGAGGGCAGACCTCTAGCATGCCTAGAAAGAGACAGCGACTTGTTTGCGCAGACACAGGCTCTACACATGTGCTGCAACGGGTGGAGGGACAGGAACAGCCACTGGGAGAGATGGAGAAGTCCAAATCCGGAGTCCAAGCTGAACAACCTAAACACTCCGCCAGACCAATTGTTAGCGCTCGTTCTTCCCGCGTCATCAAGATCCCAAAGAGGTTCATGGATGATGAGCGCATGTCTGCTCTCCCAGAACGAGGTTCCCCAAAGAAACCAGCTCTTTCTGAACTCCCAATGGATCTCGGCAAACCGAATATAGATCTCCAAACCGTCAATTCCAGAAGCAGGCTGAAGACCGCACAAGAACCGCTGATCCCAAACAATGATGAAAAAAGTGTTTCAGAAAAGGGGCAATCTCAAGGAGTCAAGCCTGTTTTGAGTTCCTCAAGGCCTTCTGCTGGTCCTCGTGGGAGGGGTGGGAGACCCGGCCAATCCACGGACCAGTATAAGATATACTGGAAGTTGAAGAAGCTTACAGCATGTCTGGCAAAACGAAGGATGCAGCGGATTGCCAGTTCGAGCTCCAGGCTAGCAGAGGAAGGTGCTGAGGGAGGAACACATGATATGCAGGAAAGGAAGTCTGATCTCAAATTGCAGGACATGTATTCTCCAGGGGTGGTGCCAAAAGTAGCTATACGTGTTGGGGAACATTCGGATCAGACACCTTTGGCAGAAGTACCTGCTAAGGAGAACGGTAGGGTTTTTGCTGTATTATGCCACACATAATAAGAATAATAAACCTTATTTGTATACCAAGGTGCTTATAAAAACTACATTATAGTTAGCACCAAATAATTGACTTGAAAACAAGTAATACCATAATTAATATAAAATATTAAAGATGACACCCACTTTGCAATGCTAATAAAATGAGTGTACATAAAATGCATAACAAAAGATGAAAATGATTGTTTTTTTCCACCTTTTCCCATTAACCTTGAGGCAAATTCCTTTATTCCTTCAGTAGAGAATTCTAACCTTGAGGGAATCTCTCAAACGAGTGCACAAAATACCCAGATGATGTTGGAGCAAGGTGGTAACACCCACAGAATGAGTCTTTCGGGTGCCAATAAGAGGATGTTCCACCTGCTGAAGAGAGCCAGAGTCCAACTGATTAAAATCGACCAGCAGAAACAGCTCAAATCAGCTCAGGTCAGAATGTTTAACAATTTTATGACGGCAAACAGTGCTGTTTTGCATTTTTATAAGGCACTGAATCTGACAAGTTCTGACTATTCATAAGCTGGGTAAACGCAATGTGTTCATTTACGAAGAATCATTTGGAGGTTCACTGTATACACAATCGGTCAAAAGTTTGGGAAATTTTCTTCTTTTTTTTTTCTAAAGAAATGTATAGTTTTTTTCAGTAGACACATTCAATTGATGAAAAGTGACAGTAAAGACATTTATAATGTTACAAGAGATTTCTATTTCTATTAATGTTGCTATTAATCTATTAATGTTCTATTTATCAAATAATCCTGACCCCCCCCCCCCACACACACACAAATATTAAGCAGCACAATAGTTTTCAACATTGATAATGATAAGAAATGAGCACCAAATCAGTATATTAGAATGATTTCTGAAGGATCATGTGACGCTATCTAAATTTTATGCGCTTGTCTTTTTATTGGATAAAATTGTCCGCCTCGATTGAGCACATACGTTTTTAGAATTTATACGCATATTGTCATTTCCATCCAGCCTTTTTCTTCAAAACAAACATAAAAAAAACTTCTTTTTTTTTGGAACGGTAGAGTATTAATATTTTTTGTCATCTTTGGAGACCTTAGTGTGAACAATGTTTTTGAGTGGCAAATGATATTTTGATAAAACAATATATAAGTCTGTAATATCTTTTAAATCTGTGTAATTATACAAACAGTGATGTTTATGCTCTGCAGCTTCTGTCTGGCTCTGTGAGAGTAAGAGATGGATCAGCCACAGGCATGCAGAGAGGAAGAAAGAGGGGCAAGAGAGTAGTCCCAGCTAACCCAGAGGGGGCTCCACAAGTATGTTTCACTGAAAAATATTGCTTTGCAGATTTTTCATCGGATTGTGAGTTTAACGCTGTGCTTTTTGAACTCTGTAGGAGCAAGTGATCGGTGGTCCACGGATAAAGCATGTGTGTCGAGCAGCAGCGGTTGCACTGGGACAGCCACGTGCCATGGTTCCCGATGACATTCCCAGGCTCAGCGCCCTTCCTCTGCATGAGAGAGAGGGGATCACTGCTTCACCTGCCGAAGAGGGTACACACCTCTCCTTTGCTCATTCTGTCCACATCCGTTATAAGTGACATTTGCTAATATGGAGATAAATGGGCTCTTTTGGCCTGTAAATTGTGTATTATGTCATGTTAGTTGCAGTGTAACTGTAATACAAGTTCAGCTCATAATTTGTGGGCTTAAATGCATAAAATGTATGATTTCCTTTAAGGCTTTGTAAACAAGTTGTATATAATGTCGAATGATTTTAAAAATGATTAATATAATAATGAAATGTAAATATAGGTATTCTATAATAAATATTCTAAAATATAAAAATATTTATTTTAGATTTAATGTACATTTTCTAAAAGTATCTCTCTATTTGGACTACTTTACATTTACACTATTATTTTTGAAACCCAGCCCACCAGGATATTAGAATGTTTATTATTATTTTTATTAATTTAATTTAGTATAATTACGTGTAATAATAGTGTAATTTTGCATTAAACTCTTTTTAGCTCTGTTTAGCTGAATATTCTCATCCTTTCTGGATATGGGAACATGTAATGGCTAGAAGTTTTGTAATTACGTGAATGTGAAAATAAAATGATCCTAGAGTCTGTTGCATTCATAATGCACAACATATGCAAACTGAGTCGTGGATTGTATTCAAAACACCACATGAGATGGCCTGAGGTCATTTGAAAAACTCACATAATGCACTACTGCACAAAAAAAAAAAAACCCCATAAAAATAGAAACATAAAAATTTGCATTATGGTATTTCTTTATTTGTTTAAAATGCTCGTATTTGAATGCTAATATATGTTTGCAATTTAAAGTGCTCCATCATTCCAATGTCTGAAATAATTGTAATGCCTACTTGTGGCAGCAGTTCACCATTATATCTAGGTGGTGTTACCTTCATTTCTTAGCAAACCAAACCTTGACATTCCCGAAATGCCCTTATTCTTATGTTAGATGCTTTCTTTTGCCTCTGTCTCCCTCTTCCACCGGCCCCTTCTGGCTCTTCAAGATGTTGCATCTCACTCAGAACCAGAGAGTGAAGAATCTGTTGAACCAAAGCCAACATTTAGACGCAAGTATGAAAGCACTGCTTTTGGCTATCGGCTAAAGCGCTGCTTGCGCTGCAAGGGATGCAATCGGCTGGAGGACTGCGGGAGGTGCGTGTTCTGTCTGGACAAGCCCAAATTTGGAGGACCCAACAAGAAACGGCAGAGCTGTGTGTAAGTGTCCAAATAGTGTTAACTACAAGGTATTACATGGCAGCAAACCTTTCCCGGGGTTTAAAGAAGTCATATCATACATTTCGTCTTTTGTGATCCTATTTGTGGACTTGTTTTTGTAATTTTTCAACAGCTTAAAGAAGTGTTCGCTGATTGAGCAGAACAAAACGAGACGATTTAACAAAGGTACTCTACTTGCCTCTTTAAAATTGACCCCTTTTTAGTGACCTGGTATTTACAGTCAATTGCCACTTGCCAATGCAAATATAATAAAAAAAGGAATAAAATGTTTCAAAAATTACAGTTAAAAATACCGGTACCCTTCAATTTTAGCAGACAAAGTTGGCATTAAAGCTCTGGGCTGTGTTTCCCAAACGCATTGTGAGCTGGGTTCATCGTAGAGACTATTGGTGGCAATGGTTCTACTATCTACTTGGACTTTTTGGGAAACTCAGCCCTGGCCTGTTGGTTATTCGTACAGAATTGATCATTTTAATTGACCACCTCTCTTTGGCGCAGTCCAGATGAAGCGGCGGCGGCGGCGGCGGCCATCAGCGGCCTCTGGCATGAACAGCAGCGAAGAAGAAAACGAGGAGGAAGGGGGAGATGATGGAGGAGGACAAGCCCAGTTCAGCCCCACCAGGAGGCAGCCCAGACGACAGGTCACTCCACGGTCCTACAGAAAAATGCTGGGGTACGACGACTCTGACACAGAGACACAGAGTGTCAGCTCAGAGAAGACAAAGGCCAGCGGCACCCAAAAGACTCAATCCAGTGGTATGAGTTTCATGTCAACCCTTACGCCAATATACACAGGAACAGCTCTTTGTTTGTCTTAAGAGCAGTAGCGTAGCCATGAGGGGGCCTGATTCTACTAGATTCACTAGATTCCTGATTGCTTAAAATAAAAAAAATAAGGAATTGTTGATTTGTCCCTCTTATTAATAGATTGACCAATGCTGTGCGATAAAATGCAACGGCTGTTTTCAAACGTATTGGTTTGATTAACATGTTGTGCGAGGCTTACGCTTTCATTTTCTTTGCTCGTGAAAGTTTATTAGTAGGGATGCACGATATAGGATTTTGGCCGATATTCGATATGGCGATATTTTCAAACTAATTTTGCCCGATGCCGATACCGATATATTTGTCTTTTTTTTTAAGTGCAAAAAAAGCTTATTAAAGCTTCTATTAATATTCTCAGTCAAGAGCAGTGAGTGATTTCCTCTGTGTTTTGTTGTTTTATTAACATTAACGGGATAGTTCTCCCAAAAATTTAAATTGTCATCATTTACTCTCTCAAGTTTCTTTCTTCTGTTGAAATTATAAAAGTTATTTGGAAGAATGTGGCTGACCAAACAGTTGCTGTACTCCAGTGACTTCCATAGTATATTTAAGCACAAGAAAGAAATGAATCCAGGTTTGAAACAACATTAGATAGACAGAATTTTTATTTCTGGGTGCAGTATCTCTTTAAAGACAAGCGGCAGAATATTATTACTGTCTCTTTAAGAACTGCACGCGAGTAACGCGACGCGTCCAATATACACGCATTTGACAAGCAGATTTTCTCTGTTTGCTTTCACTTTAGACATAACCAACTTTGTTTATGTAAACCTTGTGTGTATTTGACAGTATCAGCGCAATAAGACTCGAAAGATTAATCCAGTATGCAGGCGCTGTGACAGGCTTTTAGTTCCTGTGAGCGTCGGGTGTACGCGCTCAGAAAAGCGGATGTTAGAACAGCGCATCAGCACGTGAATGACATGTTTACCTAGCAAGACTTTGACGCACATGCAAACAATGAACTTTTGTGAATTGCAGTGTCCCGTGAGTGTAACTCTACCTCTGCGTTTACATGTGATGTGATGTGAATGTACGTCGCGTTGTACAGTATGTTGAGATGAAGGCGCCAGAATTGAACTGATAGAATGCACCATACTATGATTTTTCTTCAAAAGCAGATAGTGGAGACATTTTAATCGTCCACGATCAAAAACCGTGAGACGCACGGCACACCCCTAGTTGGAAGTTTAAGTTGCTGGCGCTCATGCTTCGTTCACGGTCGTCACGTGCGCATAGGAAACACGCCACCCTATCGGCAAGACTCATCGGCAGAAATATTCATATCGGCCGATGCCGATGATGGTCATTTTAAGCTTTTATCGGCCGATACCGATGTTGTCCCGATATCATCGTGCATCCCTAATTATTAGCATGCGATGACAATGGCGGATGCACAAAGGTCAATAGCGCTTTTTCAAGAAATCACGGAAAGATGAGCGAGAAGGAGAAAAAGTTGCTACATTATAGTTGTCGACCGATATTGGGGTTTTTTTATGGTCGATGCCGATATCTCAGAGAGCAGGGTGGCCGATATGTAAAATAAATAATTTATATTTATTTTAATTCATATTTAATTAATTAGAAATGATAAATAATAAAATACATTTAAAAAATAAATCTTTAAAATAAACGTGCTTATACTTTAGATGGAAACGTCTTGATTCTCCAATCCTATTACATTATTTTTCAGAAATAAAGTTATTGTTTAAAAATATATAAACATATGAATAAAAAGGAAGTAAACACTGTAACAGGGCACTCAGTAATCTGGTAAGTTTGTGCACAGTGGTAATCTTTTTTTTTTTTTTTTAAAGACAAGGTAATACTAATTTTTCATACAGCACACAGTGAAATTGGTTACAGCATATCGGTTGTACTGCATAACACATTGTTTAAAATCAAGGATTTAAAGTTTGTTGATCACGTATCCAGTAAAGCTGAACAGCTGGAACAATTTTCACACGGACAGACCGTCATGCACAGAGTAACACGTGATCATGCAGGCTACAAATGCACACTTCAGAAGATCTCACAGCTGGAGTCCATTAAATCTGCAAGGTTTGTGAAATTAAATGTTTATTAGATATTCAAAGAGTTTTAATGATATAAATCTGTATTTACTTAATCTTGACGGGAAATGAAAAAGTATTATAGTGTTTGCATTTATGTTACTAATAATATAAATGCAAACGCTATACTTTTTCGCGTACCATTTACCATAACAGTTCTATCTAATAACGTATTAGATATGACTGTTAAACAGAGACCATAAACTAATGAAGACGGAGAATGTTCTCATTGCTGCCCGTCAAAATAAAAGTCCCGCTTCTAACAAATCAGCCAATCAGAAAAACTCATCAGCCGATACCAATAATTTAAAAATGCGTCGGCGATATATCGGTCGAAGACTAATCTGTATCTGAACCTACTTCACCTTTCCACAAGACAGTGAGTGAAGCGGCACCTGAGGTTTCCAGGATATGCATATTTCATCACTGGACTGTAGTAGTGAGACTTCTACGACACAAATCGACACAATGCCAAATGATTTTGTCTCATTTATAACAACGAAAACACCTTAAAATACTGCATCCTTATCATACAGATAAGAGTAAGACATCATTCGAAACTATACTCACAATAAAAACAAAACATTGTGCTTTTGTAAAGTAAAGAAAAACAGGATGCGCTGTCTGCTGTCTCGGTTTCCTTTGTGCACGTCACAAAAATGAATACAAAACTCAGCATATAGGCTACTCCTTGTTGCAGTCTTTTCTTTCGTTTTGTTAATCTGTATTTAAATGAAATATATTTTGTTTATATTCCTTTTTATATACGTGTATATATATATTCTGTTTTTCTCCTTTCACAGAAGTGCTGCATGTGCGTGATGTGACGATGTATGAATCTTAATGATCTGTTTTTTATGCCGCTATTTGCACATGTAAAACTGAACAACAAATGTTGGTATTTTTAATGGCTCTCAGACACTTATCCATTCTAATTTAATTCTAATAACTCAGGGGAAACCGCCCAAAATGAACATCCCAAGCCTATATATATTGCGGCCCCCTCATTTTAAGATGGGACCCCCCCCCAAATAAAATTCTGTGAAACCAGTGTCTCTGAGACTTAACCAATACTTTGAACTTCTTTCCAGACATGGCTACCTCTGTAACTGCTCCAGAAGAAGCAACAAAGCAGAAAAGGCAAGGGCTTTACAGAGCATTTTGGGCCCAACGCAGAATTGATAAGGTACAGTAACTCATTGTCATTTTGATGATCCCAAAATGGATAATCTGACGATTAATTGACCTGGGCTTAGTTTCCCAAAAGCATTGTAAGCCTAAGTAGATCGTAAAACCACTGCCACCAATGGTCTCTACAATAAACGTAACTCACAATGCTTTTGAGAAACGTAGCCCTGGAAGATATATTTTGGTCTAGGGGTACACAATTTTATGGGAATTATTTTTTTTAAATTTTTTTTATTGTGAACAAGCTCCAAGCTTGCTGTGGCTGTTTGCAGGGCTGCACAAGTTGGCCAAAAATTTGATTTTTTTATGTCAATATAATTATAAAATAATAATAATACAAAACCAAAATAGCTAATATTATTATTTCTTCTACTAAATGAAAATATTAACTACTATTGTTATATTTCATTGTAAAATAAAACAAATTGAGTAATTTTAACTTAATTTCTTCATTTTTCAAATGTTAAATTATCTAGCTTTAAAAAACATTTTGGTGCATCTAGAAGTTATTTTATTGGTTGGCACATTGCATTCCCAAATGCACGTTATAAGTGACCCAAACTCAGATGCGGAGATGTGTTTGTGTGGAGCAAAATTTACTGAACCACGCATATATTTAATTAAATCACATCCTTTGCCATTTTCATAATCACACTTAGCCATATTGCGATTTTGGTTTTGTTTAGATTAATTGTGTAGCCTTATTATGGTCTATCAGTTATAGCTCAATCCAATTCCTGAATCACCTCTGAAATAAAATGTTATCCTCTTTAACTGTCTAATTGAATGCATTTGGGAATTATCTTTCTCTCTTTAAAATAAAACTGCTCTTCCCCTTTTCTTGGATGCAGTTCTTCCCGTTTCTCCACAACTACAGCATAACAACGTGTCCTAACCAGGTGTTACATGACAAGATTCTGCCATCAACTCATTTTTCTGTCCTTGCCTTCTCAGCGAGATAAATTAAGACCCAAACTTGTGACAAATATGCAATGTTGCATATTGCTTTTTGTGGTTGCCTCAACTCAACATAAGAATAATAACCATTTATAATGTTCTGCCTGGTTAGGACACTGTTGGACTAGTAGTACTCTTGCCTTTGTTCTAAACATCTACATCTGATGGTGATGGAAATGGGTGTTTTCCTCTTTTCTCTCATGCTCCTCATTTCCTCTCATGCTCTGTTTGGTGACAGTCCTCCTCCCGCCCAGTTTTTATCGATTCATTTTCCTGCTTTTATCCACTATAACGCTGGTCCCCTCGTATTCCCCCAATTCTCTTGGTGTTTTTGACATTTACACAGGAGCCACTTGAACCATCTTCATCATCATCATCATCATCAGACCCTCCAGCACCACCCCACCATCCCTTCACCCCCACAGAAAGTCCCTCCCTCAAGCCTGAGCGCAAGCTGCTGTTGCGGCTGGAAAGGCTACCGGCCAGTGTTGTGCAAGCGGCCTTGTTGGGCGTAGCAATCCCGGACACCACAAAGTCACAGAAAGTGATGTGCGAGGTGGTGGAAGAGGAGCAAGCTTTTTTTCATTGCTCCTCTCTTACTCATTCTCAGAGTTCGGCGGAGCAAACGCCTTCTAGTGTCCTGACTCCGCTGGCCAATGGCTGCACCCAGAGAGGCAAGTTGTCACAGCGGACGATGAACAAGATTCGCGTGGACTTCAAGGTCAGAGCTGAGATTTCTATGAGTTTTCTATGAAACCAAAAGCTCTGTTTTTTGGGGGTGTTTTAAATGAATATTGATTATAAAAATTGATTGTTCATTCAAAACACCAAAAATAAAACAAAAAATAATTTTTAACAAAAATTAAAAATTAAAGTTTTAAACAAACTTTTATAAACACACCCACACACACTGTCTGGTTTGCTAACTTTGTGGGGACTCTCCATAGATGTAATGGTTTTTATACTGTACAAACTGTATATTCTATTCCCTTACACTAACCCTTCCCCTAAACCTACCATCACAGAAAACTTTCTGCATTTTTACAATTAAAAAAAAAAAAAACCTCGTTCTGTATGATTTATAAGCTTGTTTCCTCATGGGGACCTAAATTGAGGTCCCCATGAGTCTGTGTGCATTCAGGTTGAAGTCCCCACCGGGATAGAAAAAGACACACGCACGCACACACACACACACACACACACACACACATATATATATATGTGTGTTAAATCTGTTTTTGTTGTATGTACCTTTTAATTTTTTTTTTATTATGCCAACAACAACAAAAAATCCTAATGGTAAATAAGTTATTTAAAATATTTGTAAATTATGTCAAATTTAAATTGTTAAATTTGTAGTTTTGGGGTGATATTTAAAGTCATCATGAAATCAAAATTGACCCGATTTGCTTTTATTAGCTCACATTTACTAATCGTGTGGTGGACAATTCATTCGTGCAAGATAATACACACAAAAAAAATGTGTTTGTCGTGGTAATCTTTAATCAAAATCTGAAAATTTGCTTCTGCTCTGGAATGGCGTTCCTTCTCTGATGACGTCAGTTTGACGGCTTGGGTTGAATATCCTTAACCACTCCTCTCCAACTGTCAGTCTGCTTTGAGCGACGAATGGAGAGGAGGTGCGCTAAAGTAAAACCCCGCCCTCAGTTCAATATTCCGTTTAACTTGGAAATGCGTCAACACTGAAGTAAAGTCGGTTGCAACTTCTGGCTCACGTGGACTTAAAGCCAGAAATGTTCTTGATGGTTTTTGTGGCAATAACCCCTTTTTCTCACTTCATTTATAAAAAAATTATAAAAAAAAGCTGTTAAGTTTTTAATTCCCAAAAGTGGATCTCAAACGTTTTTATTTTGCTGCCTCTTCCCCAGGTTGTTTGTTAACAACATTTTAATGTTAATTTATGCAGGAAGACTGTAACATCCAGAATGTGTGGTTGATGGGGGGACTGAGTATTCTCACTTCAGTTCCCATCATGCCCCAGTCTGTGTGTCTGCTCTGTGCCAGCAAAGGCCAACATGATGTAAGATCCAGCTCTCAATACATCACTAAATACCAAAGAATCAACATCCATATTCCTTCTATCATAACTCAGTACTACAGCAAAATTTCATTATTTGCAGAAGAATAAAAGAATCTAATTTTGAGTTTGATTGATCTTTTTTACCAGATGATCTACTGTCAGATGTGCTGTGAGCCTTTTCACCGTTTCTGCCTGTCACCGGACGACTGCCCAAAGGAGGAGAACAAGGAGAACTGGTGCTGCAGACGCTGCAAGTTCTGCCATGTGTGTGGCCGCAAGAGCAAGCAAGCAAAGGTGCATTACGCTTTTAATTTAGTACTAATAAAGATTAGTCATGGAGGTGTGTTCTTATTACTGTTCTAATTAATCAGACCTACAGTTTTCACATTGCAGAAGAGAAAAATATTGTTAACGTACATTGAAGGAGCCATGCAAGTACATATATTTGACAAGAAATCAACAAATCAAATTCTGTTCTTCCTCATTTAGCCAGTTTTGCAGTGCAAGAGATGCATGTACTGCTACCATCCATCCTGTTTAGGACCCACATATCCCAAATCTGTAAAAATGAACACCTCTTGGGTGAGTTATATCCCTGCCATAGGGTAATGTCCTAAAATCATCATTCTAATTTTCGCCTAGTTTGTCAGACATTGCGTTTTAATTATTCATACAGTGATAAGTCCATCAATAAAGTTTGCTTTGTTTCTTTGCAGATTTGTATGCTGTGTATCAGGTGTAAGAGCTGCGGAGTGACTCCTGGGAAGTCCTCGGACTTGTCCTGGAACAGTGAGCTGGACCTCTGCCCTGACTGTAGCAAACTCCATAGCAAAGGTTTGACGATGCAAACGTCTTGTCAGATTCTAGTTCAGTCTGAAAATTCAGACTATATAGGAATGAATGTTTGATCTAATCCCTCTGTCCCTGTATTTTTTTTTGGCCAAGTCATCCTTTCAGCAAACTCTATTCAAGTTTCTGCACCTTTAATTGAACATTTTAATTATAGTAATTAAATAATGTGATTGTATTGGTTATTTTCATTTAATTATATGAATTCAGTTAATTTAATAATAATAACATTAATGTTATTATTGCAAATTGTTTATATTAAAATGTAAAGTTTGTATAACTCATGGTTTTGTGTGATTTATGTCTAAGAATTTTGCATTGTTGTAATTTGTTGAGTGTGTTTTCTCAGGGAACTTCTGCACTGTGTGTCTGAAGTGCTTTGAGGAACATGAGTTTGACAGCAGCATGATGCAGTGTGCCCGATGTGCACACTGGGTCCATCCCAAATGTGAGGGGCTCACAGGTAAGATCCGTTTTCAATGTCTTGCTGATCCCACACACCGTACTCTGTCCTGTATTTCCTTCCTGTCTTTTTCATCTTCAGATGATCTGTATGAGATCCTTTGTCGTCTGCGGGGGAAGAGCCTGGTGTTTTCCTGTGCTCCCTGCAGTAAGAGATTCCGCAGCGGCTGGCAGGACGTCGTGCAGGTCGTTTTGAGGAACGGTCTAGAGAAGATCATGGATGGATTGAGGAGCTCTCCGAACATGTGTCACCTCCTCGTATGTGCGCAGGTGAGGTTTTCAGCAGTCTGTGTACTGAGAATATGTCCCCTTTAAGATTAAGTTTAAATGATTATCTGTTCACCCTCCTGTAGTGTCTAGGTGAATCAAATGTGTTTTGTGTGTATCTGAACAGTGTGAGGCCTGTCCAGATTTTGAGGTTGTAAAGAAACAGTCAGGCTGTTGTTTACATCCTATAGAGAAGAAGCTGGAGAATGACCTGTACACTTCACTGGTGAGATCTTTTATACACGTGAAACAAGTTGACAATATAAATAGGTTTTTCAAGAAGAATTGTGTGAAAACTAACTTTCTATATCCTTAATAATCCAATACTATGTATAATTTACATTCAGTCTAAATCTTTCCTATGTATTTGCAGAAGAACCATTGAATTAGTCAGTCTACCAAAATATTTAAGTTGAAAATCACAGTTTAGAGATTTGGTATCAGTTAAATAGGTATAAAACGGTAACTAGCTGTTTACTCTGTCCTTTCAGAAAGCATTTCATGAGGATGTGGTGATGGTGTTGGTGGAAAGGCTGAGAAAAGAAGAATATCCTCCAGTGGAGAAAAGGCCTACAAGCCAAGCCAAGTTGTATTACATAAAGGTAATGTTTTTTCTTTCTTTCTGTAGGTCTACAATACAATAGTTGCTGGTGTTATTGGACATTGGACATTTTGAAGCAATGCATATTTTATGAGTGATATTTTATGAGTGATATTTGCAGACTGTAGTTCATTTTGGTGCATATTTTGTCTTTGTTCTGTCTTTGCAGCTAGTAGAACAAGTATTTAGCTGGTTCAACAGTCAGGACCCCAAAACATGGAACTCTCATATGCAAGAATTTCCACGGTATGAACCTAATTTTTCTTTATTTTTAAAGCAATAAAGTATTCCGGGTTAAACAACTTGTTGCTTTGTAGACTGTCTATTACCATCGAAGATAACTTTGAGTCATCATTCAGATTGTAACCAACAAAAATGTGTTTACCACAGTCTTAGTTTATAAGACAGTTGTTCTGTTGGGTTTACAAACCGAAATATTAAGCTTGTATTTTTGCTACAGCAATTATATTAATAATTCATATTCCTTAAAGTCAGTATAAAACTGAGCAAATTAAATTGGGAATCAGTGGATTTCGACCTTTTTGACTTAAAACAACCCCCCCACACCTCCATTCACAATTTTTACCCAAAAAATTATGTATATTCGTTATAAATATAACCAAATAATAAGAAAATAAGTTTTTTTAGATGTTTGAGCTCATTTTCATGCTTGTTTTGTCTTATTTTAAGTAGTTCTGGGCTGTTATCAGCGTTAACGTGCTGCGTTAACGTGAGACTCTTATCGGGCGATAAAAAAAATATCGCCGTTAATCAAAGTTGGGTTGGGATCATAAATAGCTTTTTCGAATATCGTTATATTTTCGCGCAATTCTAATGTGTAGTATGACGCCGCGCCTACTGTCACAGATCGCGCAGCAGGGTATTTTCCTGTCAGGGACACAAGGTGTACTTTAACTTTGTTACGTTGGGCGACGTTCGTCTCGTTATGGGCCTTTGTATGGGCATGAGCGATGCTCATTTACAAATGAATCACTCTTTTGAGTCGATTCTGTTCAAAGACTTCATCAAACAAGTTGTCAGATGATCTGTCTAAATCGGTTCGCGAATCAGTTGATCTGTTCAGTTCCTCGCGCACTGAATCGTCTGAAGCGCTTTCAATTCACACTCGGAGTCGAAACAGGAAGATTTAAGAGCATCAAGAGCGTTGGATGAAGTGGCCGATCTACAGTCTAGTCTAGTGAAAGCAAATCTGCAAATGCATCATATTTTTGCCAGCGATAAAGATCTTTATTAGTTGAACATCTTCGTATGCTGTCTGTGAATGAATGATTCCACAGGACGATACATTCGATTTCATTTCATTCAGGTAATACATTTTACAACCAAACAGATTATTACGCCACGATAGCACTAATAAAAAGTATGACATTATCCGGTTTTTGGTCATACATTTATTTATAGGCTACAAAAAAAACGCTTCAGAGCGTCGGCGCACTGGTTAACAGGTTAAATAAGCTCCATTGTCCACAGTTTATGAAATGAACACCCGCCATCCCCGCGGTATATGTGTGTGTTTTGCGCGTGTATTGCGCAGTGGCATAATCACATGAATAGTTTACATTGATTGAAACTAATTTGTTTAAAAATGAGGCTATTGCAGTAACGAGGCAGGTTCACATAAAATCGTTATGACATATGATGACATTATTTTTTGATCTAACGAGCATTGGCGATGGAAAAACGGACTGTCGTGCGTATTGTTTTTTTTCTTCTTCCAATTAGCCTACTATGTTAAAAAAAAAGGACGAAAACATGTTACTTGTTCAATTAATAAACAGTTTGTTTGATGACAAATCGCTAAAGATGAAATTGGCCTCCCTTTCTGTCATTGCGGTTTTTTATTTATTTTATTTTTTATTTTTTAGATATTCGACTTTTGCTCCTCGATTGTCGAATGGCATTTTTGGCAGAAATGCACATCCCTACGCGAGGCGAACTATTCTCAAAGACTTACTTTTAGTCATTATTTGGTAGCACACATATTCTGAATGCCTTCGGGAGAATTCAAATGAGCCATTTTAATCTAGATTAATCTAGATTAACCTGTTAACCGTCACCAGTGCGTGGGCGCTCTGAAGCGTTTTTTTTTTAAATAGTTCAAAGTTACTATCATATTTAATGTGATTAACTTGACAAACTATACATCATTAAAACGATATAAGACTCAAGTTTCAGTATTTGACCACTATTGTATTCTGTGAAACTTATAGTGACAGTTATGTCTTAATTTGTGTCAGGAGTTATGAAATAAAAAAATGAGTCGTTACCTTTAATATGAATTATGAGCGTCAGCTGCTCTCATTCAGAAAAAAACTCCCGTGCGATCGTCATGACAGCGATTCACAAAACAATGTCCCTCAGGGCTTTTAGCTCAAACATGTACAGATTTGGAGAAATATTGATAGATTCTCATAGGTTTACATCAGACTTCTATAGACAGGAATAATATTTATTGAATTTATACCCAAATGCGTCGATGTAATCATTTTGAGCGCTGTATACTCTGATGTACAGTTGTGTTATCCATTCATACTAACAGTCTGGGGCGCTGTTTGCACAGTAAAGTCCATATATGGATCACATGAAGAAGAGCCATAATCATGTGACATTCAGGAAGTCCTGACACATAAACAAAGCTATCCGAGATCGCTGTAAAGTGCAGATAAAGATGTTTTGAAGACAATAAACATGATTGCAATGATATTTGATTTACCTGTGTTCTTCGAGTCATGTCAGGTATTTTCATAATAATAGATTATATGTATAATGTTGCTAATCGAGATAGACTTTCAAATTGTGCAGAATACAATAAAGTAATATATTTTCTATCTGATTTTTTTATCTGAAGCCAAATCAGATTACAGAAAGTTATTTAAAACACTCGACTTGCGCTATAAAGTAAGTTGGAGCACAAACATAGTTTTATTCTCATAAATTGTCGTGTATTGATGGTGTGCTAAGCTAACATGCTAGCTAGTACTGAGCACCTGCTACCTAACTTCGATGTAATTTTTATGATTTTTTTTTCTAAATAAGAATGCTTACTGAAATGTTTCGTTTTTCAAAAAGGGCATTTGATACAGTTTCACTGTGAAGTGAGAACTTTTATAAAATAAATGAGGGATTGAAACAGTGTGAATTGCTAGTCGTTAGTGATTATAATGCAGACAAAAGAAAAGCATATTTAGAGCAATAAACAGGCTGGAGAGGTGTGAATATGTCACAAAACAATAGAGGCAATAGACTGAATAGATGCTTATAAGATGACAATAAACACCAGTCTAATCAAAATAAAGTCATATGACATGATCTTGAAAAACATTGAACTAAATACAGAGTTTTAGACTTATCATCTTCAGATTTTAAATATAACATGGTTAGACATGTGGCTTTAGCTGCAGTGCATTTCTAGATTGCTACAATGCCAACTTCAATTTTATTTTCATGAAGATGTTTCATAAAAATAAATGTATAATAACTTTACAAAACTTTGAAGCTATTTATAACTATTTTTTTTCATTATGACAATAATTAATTCTACATTTACAATAAACTTCCAGGTGTCAGCTTTCAAATGAGATCTTACTTGTGCTTTTAGTACAAAGGGTTCATGAACTGTATCTGTTTCAGTTTGGGAATGCCATATCTGGGGATTTTTCAAAAATGGGCTTGAAGCTTAACAGGTTAAAAAAATTAATCTATGCCCACCTCTAATTTTAAGTCTTCTTGAGTCCCCCTTGGAAATGTGTTGAGGCCCCCTGGTGGAGAACCACTCTGCTGCATGTTTTCAGGTTTTTCTATTTGTGATGTTTTTAAGTGAAGGTTCATTTTGCCCCTTTTGTTTCATAGTGGTATGCTTCCTGAAGCTGTAATTCCCCCCAGCAATGAACACAGTTATGCACAATGGCTCAAAGAGCAGAACCCAGAAAACTCTCACTCAAAATCTCAAGGTAAGCACATTGTGTTTTTATATTTATGGCTCATGCTTTCATCTTGTTTCTATCTTGTTTTGTTAATTTTTGTTCATGAACCACAGATCTGCAGAATGTGAACTCTCAGTCTTTCATGGATGAAAGACAGTGCTCCCTCTGTCAGCAACATGGAGATGCCAAACCGAATGTAGGTGAAACCTTGAGCAGTTCTGTGTTCTGGGATATGAGTATTCTGTTGGACTCAGTTGAGTTGTATTGTATGTGTAGGATGCTGGTAGGCTGCTGAATATTGGACAGAATGAATGGGCTCATGTGAACTGCTGCATGTGGTCGGCGGAAGTGCAGGACGTCAAAGGAGCTTTACTGCATGTTCACAGTGCCGTCGCCAGGGGCCGCTTCATGGTAAGTATCAACTGATAAAGGATAGTGTATATGTAGAATAAAATGTAGAAATATTATTAAATGTACCTTTTTTTCCCAGCGCTGTGAAAGTTGTGGCCAAACAGGGGCGACTGTGGGTTGTTGTCTCACCTCGTGTCAGAGTAACTACCACTTCATGTGTGCTCGTGCCAGCAACTGTGTCTTCCAGTGTGATAAGAAAGTCTACTGTTACAAACACCGTGATCTCATAGACAACAAGGTTTGTATGTTTAGCAAAACTGTTAATGTTTTACAGCTACTGTATAATTGAAGTGAGAAGAATGTAAACAAGCTTTTCTTTTTGTAGATTGAACAAGGCAATGGGTTTGAAGTTCTCAGAAGGGTCTACGTTGATTTTGATGGAATCAGTCTGCGTAGGAAGTTTCTAACAGGCTTGGAGCCAGAGTCTGTAAATGTGATGATTGGTGAGTAAGCGGGTCCCTTTTTTTTTTTGGTGTTTAAAAATAAGAGAGAATTCAACATTTTTCATGATGTACCCATGCAGGGTCTCTACACATTCAAAAACTTGGTGTTCTGACGGAGCTGTCTGCAAATTCTGGAAAATTGTATCCAGTTGGTTACCAGTAAGTAACAAAGTTTAAAATCACTCAGCTTTCATTTGATATTGTTTTTTCATTTGATACTGGTGATGATCAGTTATCAAAGCATTAGTCACATAATTCCTTTTGTAGTACAATTATTGTTCAAAAATTATTTAAAAAAAACATTAAAGGGTTTAGCAGAACTTTGATTGTTAACAGTAAACTAGGATCAGCTTCAGATTGCACATTCACCCTCTATGAATGTTTATTTTAAGAAGCAATAGTTGTTCCAGCTTGATGATCTTTTTCCATAGTAATCTGTACTCATAGTTTGATCTGGTCTCAGATGTTCTAGATGGTATTGGAGCACTGTTGACCCTCGCAGGCGATGTCGGTACACTTGTAAAGTGACAGAGGTGCGACCTTCAACACGGTGCAAAACTCCTTGTTTCTTGGTGGACCAGGGAGAAAATCACACAATTGTACACAGCCCAAAAGTTCACAATGGTGTGTGTTTAAGGATATCTATCTACATGCATATTGTTTTTTGTTTTTTTAACATTGAAGCATTTAAAGCCTTTTGGAGCCTGTACAGTTTTTGGCCAGCATGGTGTAAAATCTTTGTACTTTGTGTTAATTTTTCAAAATCATATTTCTGTCTCGTAGATGAGGATGACACAGACAGCGAGTCTTTTTCACCTGAGCTTCCTACCAATACTCCCTCCAAGTCTAAACAGGACTCAGGGGTCGCAGGTAAGACTCCTGGGTATCCACACAATAGGAGACCAGCAGGAGGAATGTCCAGACCATTACCTTCCCCAGGTAAGATTCTTCCATCATTTTCAAGTTCTCTGTTCATTTATTAAACAAATAAATCAAATTACATAAAATTTCAATCTGATGAAAAAAAATGAAAAATCTGTCATTAACTCACCCTCATGTCATTCCATACCCATCACAAATCCATGTGAATCGAATGAGTATAAATAAGTATTAATTAAGAGATGAGAAAGTATGAACTGACAGTGATTTATTGGCAAGCAACATATTCCATTCCCTCTCTTAGAGGTGTTTAACCTTAGAGCTTAACAAATAAAGCATTCCTGTGAAATAAATAGAGAGAAAAAAAAACGGAACAAAGTGTTTATCAACAGAAAGTAATCAAATGTAAAACAACACTGCATCTTCACTCTGTATAAATATAGATTTAATCTACTAATGAGCAGCGATTTGATTTTCTCTATCTTTTGTTGTTTTATTTACATCTCAGGAAATGCTGTTTCCACATCCCATCACATTTTGACCATCAGTGACCTTGATGAGACACGGCGTGCAACAAGGAGACTTTCCACACGTAGCCGAAACGCCTCTCCTCCCCCTGTGGTACTTTCGGGCCCGATAGCTCTGCGATCAGGGAGCTTGATTCACCCTAGGTCACTTTCATTTAGCCCCCCTGTCTCACCACTTGGTGCAACCGAGAACCTCATGAGCACCACTTCACCTCGACGAAGAGGGAGGCCTTCTTCATTATCTCCATCTAGCATCACCTCAGGACCCTCTCCGCCACAAGCAGCTCTCCGAAGTCCCTCTTCGACCGCACCTTCATCTGTCCGCCACTCCTCACGACTTCAACAGCCTTTCACAACTACAACACATAAAACTGACGAGGTGGATCAGGAGTTCTTTGCCTTGTCAGAGCCAGAGGAGGCTGCAGGTGCGCCAAGCCACAGAATTCCCACCACATCTGACAAGTCGGATCAAGAACTGCTTTCTGTGCACTTTGATCCAGACACAGATGTGGCTTTGGCCTCTGTATTGAACGCAAAGCTTGAATTTGATGAGGCTTTGCTCAATGAAAATGTGGCTCTGGATTGTGACCCTCAAGGTAGTGAGGCAGATGTGGAAGAAGGAGCCTGCAAATACATCACTGGCAGGAATGATCTGTCATCTCCTGTGACTTCAGAGATGCAGATGGAAACAGATAATGATGTTGCTGACCATTATCTGAATTTCTCTCGCACAGTTGTGGTCCGTGAGCCTGCCAAAGACTCTACACAGGCAGGTCTTGCTGTCCTTTCTAACTCAGGGTCCATCTCGCAGCTGGATGGAGCTGACAATGACTCAGAGAGCGATACAGGTGAAGCCAACACAGATGATGATACTCAGGAAATAGGGAGTAGTTTTTGTAGTCAGGATACTGAGCCATTAAAACTCACTAGTCCAAACAAGGGCAGAACGCTTGGCGACGAGCAGCTAGTTTGCACACAAACATCGATTGCAAATCCACAAACAGCAGATTCTATTGATCAGAATGCTCAGTCAGAGACACTAAACATGGAACAGGTTTGTGAAGAACAGGAAATAAGTACTTTACAAGAGAGCGGAAAGTTGCTTGTTGACCTTAGCGCTGACATATCCAACCAACAGGAAGGATCCTTCACAGAAGGATTGAAAGCAACAACCCCCATCATTTACAAAGGCGGTGATCTTGTGACGAGCCAAGAAGTAGTCTTGATGGAGAATGAATCAACAGAGAGCTCGCAAGAGGTGTTCTTGGACGACGCCAGTGGGAATTTTATATCCGCTGTTGACGGCAGAGTTTTGGACTTGACAGAAAATGCTGCTGGTCCTGAGGCGACAAGTGATTCCTCACCAATAAACAAGGATGAATCTGTTTTAATGAAAGGTTTGTTGCCTGTTGAGAATCTGGCAGCAGCCATGCCAATGAGGGGTACTAGAACAATTCATGTTGTTGCACCAGCTATGCACACAAAAAGACGTTATGTGACTATACAACCTGGATCCCAACCCAAAACTCTCCAGATGGCCATACCTACTGCCACCTCTCTGCCACTCTCCATGCCCGTCAGTGTTGTTTCATCTTCTCCCACCTTTTCCATTGCACAGCAAGGAACTCTGCTTGCTCCTGCCCCGGCTGTAATAAATGGTTTCGGAGCTCTGGCGAAGGAAGCCACAAAGGGTCGTGCGATCGCCATACGCATTACCACCCCAAAACAAGTGACAGGACAGTCTCTGCTCCAGTGTTTGCCCGGTACACCCTCTACACCTCAGGTTCTTCTGGTCAACCGTGCTGGACAGATTCTAGTGAAAAACCCACTGACTAATACCTACCAAGTACCTAGTGCTAATTCCCCCTCGTATACCCAAATCAGCCAGATTGCGAAGATAATCCACAGTAGTAACGTTCTCCAGCGACCCGTGCCTAAGGTTACGGTGATACCAGTGCCGCAGCTTCAGACTAGTCTCGGCAAAACCACACCAACGCGTATCATCTCTTACAGCAGCAGCAATGGAGCAGCACCGTCAACCCAGGTGCTTATCAGGAGGATTCCTCAGAGTAATCCTGGAAGCCAATTGCACGGTATTAGTCCGCCGATAGAAAGAGCTGACTTGATTTCTGAAGGTGGGCGGAAGGAAATGGTGGCCCAGGCCATAATCGACAAAGCAATGGCAAGTCACCGCGAAATGGCAAATCCCATCAGCACAAAACCTTCTCCGCTCCACCTTGATAAACGGCTCTCTCCTGAATCGAAGGAATCATCTACTGTGTGTCGTCTTCGAACTCAACCCAACATCTTGTCCCACTCCAGACCTCCAGTCAAGATCAAGAGAGTGTCTTCATTAACTGATCGAATTGGTGTGAAAAGATGCAGGACAGACTTCTTGGATCAAATTGATCCTTGTTCCCAGGATGACCACAGCAGGTAGGGACGAATATTTTGTCAAATCGGTCAGGATGATCTAATCGTTGGTCTAGGTTTAGATTATTTTAGAGACCTAGCATCTGGGAGGGGAATTTCCTGTTTTTTAGCATGTAAACAGTCCATCAGATGTAACACTATCATTTTGTGCCATAAAAGGTTATATTAAATGCTGTGAAAAAGTTAGATTTTCTGTTTTTCTGCATATACATGCTTTACACTGAATAACATCTATGAATGGTGGACCTGATCATAAACCAAATCTTAATAGATAAAAATGTCATGTTGAACATCTCAACTGGATGTTCTTGTTAATTTATTTTTATTTTCATCATGTAATAATAATCGTTATTTTTCACATTTTTAGATCAAATCGGGTTCGAATAAAGGCCCCTAGTGTAAAGGATGTGCTCGACTTTGACGAACCTGAACCTCTTGACCAGCAGAAGATTGATGAATCCAAGGTTGCTGAACTAGAGAGGTCAGTAATGAGAATTTAAAATCACATTTAGTCATGTTTTACCCCAGAAAATCACAATATTTTCTTTTTCTTCTTTTTAGAATTACTCCAAATAATTTAGAGCCCACTGCGGCGCAGGAAAATAACACACGAGACGGTGGGAAATCTCAATGTATGAGCACAAAACATAGTGATTCCTCTGACTGGGCCCCGTATGCAGGTTAATATGAAATATGGCTTTGACGTTAGACACATTTGTTGTAGTTGCTCACACTAATTCGATGAATAGTTCGATGAAAAGTTCACTGCATGACTAATTGTTTCAGGTTGGAGTTCAGATGAGGACTCCCCATCACCTGGCAAGCAGGATAAATGTGCCAGTCTGTATCAGCCCCACCTGCGATTCCAAATTACCAGTGAGGATGGTTTTAGCATAGAAGCCGACAGTATGGATGGTCAGTTTCGAGAAATCTTGTACTGGTACTATGAAAAAAGCAATTGGTTTTCTTCCTTTAATACTTGGGCACATTATAATACGTTTCCTCCACTGTGTTTCTTCAGTGGCGTGGAAGGCAGTAATGGATGGTGTCCAGGAGGCACGGATAGGCTGTCGGCTGGAGCAATTGCCCATCAGCAGGATCAGCGGTGCCAGGGTGCTGGGTGTCCTCCATGATGCTGTGCTCTTCCTGCTGGAGCAGTTGCAGGGTGCTTCCCTCTGCCAGAAACACCGTTTCCGTTTCCACCAGCATGAAGTACCAGAAGAGGTGCTCCCAATCAACCCCAGTGGCTGTGCCCGCGCAGAGGTCTATGAGCGGTAAGTATCAGTAAAGACTATCTGAACTCACGTAGCCTTTGTCACATATTGACTGAGTTACTTCATTTGTTCATTTTCAAGTTTGGAAATCAAAAATTACCTTTTTTTTTTCACTCTCCAGAAAATCTACCTTTGATATGTTTAATTTCCTGGCGTCGCAACATCGGCAGCTTCCCGAGTCTAGGCCATGTGATGATGAAGAGGATGATGTTATGCTCAAATCCAGCAGGTTAGACACTATAGCAACATAATACACTTCCGCTTTAAGATGTTTTTTTGAAAGAGGTCTCTTGCTCACCAAGGCTCCATTTATTTGCTTATTAAAAACGATGATATTCTGAAATATTATTACAATTTAAAATAACTGTTTTACATAATTTTTCCAGTCTTCAGTGTCACTTTATCCTTCAGAAATCATTCTAATATGCTGATTTGCAGCTCAATTAGTATAATTGTTTTTTTCAGGATTCTTTCTTAATTAAAAGTTCAAAAGAATAGAATTTATTTGAAATAAAAATCTTTTGTAACATAAATCTCTTTACTTCATAAGAGACTTCTTTCAGAGACATTAACAAAAATCGTACTGACCCAAACTTTTGAAGGGCAGTGTGTGTGTATGCATGTATAAATCTCAAGAGTATATATATTCATTCTTGCATTTCAACTTCCCTTTAGAAGAGCCACAAGTACGGAGTTGCCAGTGGCTATGAGGTTCAGACACTTGGAAAGAACCTCCAAAGAAGCTGTGGGAGTTTACAGGTAATTCCATCCACAGTGATACAGCACGAAAACTAGCTGTGTAAAATTTCTAATAACCAATCATATGCCAATAAAAGAGATTTGATCTCTAAAGATAAAAATATTGTTCATTTTTTTCAGCTGTTTTTTATTTAGTCTTAGTCTTAGTCCTGTGTCAAATGTACTTTTTAGTTTTTATCATATTAAGTCAACCTTGTCCTGTTTCTGTTTTCTCAAGTTTGTTTTGTCAAGTCGACTAAATGTCTTAGTCTAGTTTTAGTCAATGAAAACTCACAATTTCGTCATTAAATTGTTAATCCTCAGCCTGGATGCCAGCCCGAACCCCGCCCACAACATTTTTTGGTCGGGAAGTTCGGTCTGGACTCGATCCATTGAGGAGTAATTATGATCGGTTCAGAATTAGTCGGGCCAATCAAATTGCCAGGGCGGGCTTTATACGATGATGGACAGATGATCTGCAGTTACGTAATCATCACGTTATCAAAGAGCGCTTGGGTTGAACTGGTTTCCCTCAAAGATGACTGCAGCTGGAGAATTGAGATGTATAGATTCCGCTATTGGGTCTGTTGTAAACGAAATCGACAGCGCATTCATTTTAAAAGACGAACAGAGAACTGCAATCAAGGCATTTGTCGATCGTAAAGATGTGTTTGCCGTCCTTCCTACGGGATTCGGCAAAAGTTTGGCTCCGATGGTCGCTAAGAAGATGGGATGCAATGAAAACCCTGTGGTCGTTGTGGTTTCTCCTTTGGTCGCACTCATGGAGGACCAAGTAAAAGAAGCAACACTCATTATTTTACTACTTTCAGTGTGCGTGTGTTAGTTGAGTTCTGTTGACAATTTGTGTAGCTCATAAAAAAAAAAAAAAAAAATACTGCGTTGCTCTGATTGGTTGTAGGTCTATCCAATTGAGTGCAGAGGTTTTTTTTCCCTGGTTCGGTTAAGACACGCCTCATAATCAAAGCCCTATGGAGCAGTATCAGACTCACATTCTGACAAGAATATGAGTATGACGAAGTCAGGCTAGTTAATCCTGGTTATTTTGCTCAAAATTATAATCACAATGATTGTCGTCATTTGAGAAATTCGTTTTTTCATTTAATTTAAGCACAACATCTCAATGAAGATCGCACTTTATTCTCAGTGTAGAAAGTCTACCGTGCGCTCGGTTGCCAGATTGAGAAGATTAAGTAAAACACCAGGTAGAAAATGTAACCTTTTAAGAGAAAGGCTCTAATTGGGGGCTTTAAAATCTTGACATCTGGCAACCGCAAGCTCGAAGAGTCTTGTTTAAAAAGAGTCTAATATTTTGTCCATTTCTTTCAACAAAACAAAAAGAGATTTGTTTTTCCTCTACATTTTAGTGTCGTCTCTTTTCATCAACGATATTGCATGTTGATATATTTACAGTTATTGTTTAATGGCGTTGGTGTCATTTTAGTCATGGAAAAAAGGACGTCGGCGAACATTTTCCTTCATAGATTTTGTTCACGTAATTAACACTAGATGAAAAGTAACCACGTTTTCCTCGTCTCCATGATAGATCTGCTATACATGGTCGTGGTCTTTTCTGCAAGAGGAACATTGAGGCTGGGGAGATGGTGATCGAGTACGCTGGAAATGTCATCCGCTCAGTTCTCACAGACAAAAGGGAGAAATACTATGACGGCAAGGTAAATGTGATTTTAAAAATAGCAATTTATCCTTTTGCGGTTTTCACCAGGCTTATCTCATATAATTGTTTATTTCCTAACCCTCTACTGTCTATTTCCTCCATCTGTCTCCTCAAAGGGCATCGGCTGCTACATGTTTCGCATTGACGACTTCGATGTGGTGGATGCCACCATGCATGGAAACGCGGCACGGTTCATCAATCACTCCTGCGACCCCAACTGTTACTCGAGAGTCATCAACGTGGAGAGCCAGAAGCACATCGTTATTTTCGCCCTGCGGAAGATTTACCGCGGAGAGGAGCTCACCTACGACTACAAGTTCCCCATTGAAGATGCAAACAACAAATTGCACTGTAATTGCGGGGCCCGGCGCTGCCGACGCTTCCTGAACTAAAGTCACCGTGGTTTACTCTGGCACATGGGTGGAAATAGGAGGTTTGTGAGGGGATATTTTGGTATGGGTGGCTATTTTTGAAGGAAGACACTCATTACGGGTGCTTGAGGGTATGGAGCTGAAGGATACACCATATTGATATGGATCGGCCAGGTGTGTAGCGTTTTTAGACCACCACTCACGTCTTGATTGGTTACCTCGTATGAGCTATATTTCCTACCCCAACATTCGACAACCTGGAAAGTCCTGGACTGCATTAGGCAGATGATTGCTTTGATTTAACAATTAAAATTTGTGACCTCAAACGAATACCCTTTACTTAACTACTTCACCTGTCCTTATGCTACTTTTCCCCAGCATGCCTTTCAAATCTTGCCACTGGTTATACAGTAGATCTTTTCTGGAAGAATCCTTTAGCTGTCAGAACTAATGTACAGAGGTTTTCATAGTGGAAGATACCCTGAAGTTTCAATGGGTGTGATTATTTTTGCTACTGAATCAGAGGAGTTCCTATGATGGGTCATCCTCAATAGCACCTTAATAATCTTTGCTCTTCCCCCCGCCCCCCCCCCCCCCCCCCCCCCCCAGAAATGTTGGCACTGTACATATTTTCCTGAACAGATGTACATTTTGGTGAACTATGAACAATCCTGCCACACAACATAGTTTGTAAACAGGAGCCTGTATGTTTCTAGAACATTTACATTTGTATATTTCAGTGTTTTTTTTACATGGGTGCAAATGAATGCATCACTTAGTACATGCTTTTTCCCTTTCACAAATTCCCTTGACTGCCACATTAATTTAAGATAGAGTACCTTTGCTCTGAATGCATGTACAGACAGTTTTGCAGCATTCTGGGTCATGTACAGATTACCTTTCTTCATAAGACTTCACCCAAAGCCCAATTTTTGACAAATTGATTTTAAGAACCCACTGTTTTTATGTGCTTTTATATCTTAAGGTCAGTCTTTGGAGGGGTCTATTGTAATATTCTCCATATTAGGATTACTTGTGCAGTGTTAAATGTTCCAAAAAAAAACTCCCATCCTGATCAAAACATGCACAAGTATTAACAGAAATATACAAACCCGTACTCATGAATGGCGGGTTTAGCTTGAAACAGCCGACTTGCTTCTAATAGCCATGTGTTTGTTCCTTTCCTCATGCAGCACGTTTAGGCCGACTCTCATTTCCATTTTGTTTGACTACCTCAGTAGCTCAGTAAACCAGTGACGGCTAGTGAAGTTACAGTGCAAACAATAGTAAAAAATTATGCTGGGATAATCCCGAAATAGCTTTGATTTTATGCAACGTGACTGTAGGGGTTGTTTGTTTCATTTGTTTGTTTTTCCCGAGAATTTCCAGATCCCTCTTCCCTCGTGCTTTTGTACAGAATTGAAGTGTGCTTATTAAAAATGAAGACTGAGACTTGATTCCATCACTGAACGTGATCCAACTCAAAGTGAAACTTTGTGTATAGTTGTATACAAGAATTTCTAAATCTGTTAAATTTTTCTACGCACTTTTTTTTTTATTTATGATGTTCTGTACGTAATAAAGATACAAAGATATTTGAACAAAGTACATTCTTGAATTTTTTTTTTGTTCTAAATATTTTAAATTGGCATGAAAACAAAATTGATCCTGATTACTGTATTACAGCATGTTATACTAAATAAAAAATGGCTTCCGTTCTGCCGTTAATGAACTTTAACTTGATTTGACCCATTAAAAATCAAATTAATTTGGATTTATTAACTATTTATTTTGGCTTTCATCAGAACATTTATAAGATTTATTTTTTAGTAATGGTGGATTTGTGGGCAAGGTCATTTTAAATTTGGAGGGGGAGAGTCAAAAGTATTACATTTATTATAAAGTTGAAATATTTATTAGAATTCATAATAATTTAATAGTTATTTAATTTATATAGATAATAGTAATTTCATTTAATTGCATTTACATCTCAACTATTTTTTATTATTTATCATTCAGCATAAACCTGTATGATAATTGACCAGAATCATTCAATCTGATTTTATATTTCCATTTTTTATAACATTTTCCAATGGTTCAGTTTATTTCTCTTAATAATAAAACAGATGGCACAGCCGGATTCATTATTAACTATAACTAAAACCATAAAAAAACTAAAATAAACTCTTTAAAAAAAAAAATCAGCTGTTTGCCAAGACAATTCTTATTTTTGTTTAGTTGAAGTACTACAATAAATAAAACAATGAACAAATAAACTAAAATTTTTAAATATAAAACTACAGACATTGTTTTTTTTTTAACTAATAATCCAATCAACACGCTCACGGCGCTCTTCCAGATAATTAGGTGCTGAGACCTATGTATCAATCCAAAAATGCAAAAAAGGTCTGCATAAAACATCATTTTGTCCCTGCTAAACTAATCCCTGATACATTTATTTATTTTTTCAATTTGGAAATGTAACCTGAAATGACACTAACAGTAAGAGGGACAAAACACTCAAATATTAACAGATAAATGTTTGTTTAGACCCATCTTGCTACCCATCTACCCTTTTACCCTGCTCGGTGCTGACAAGTACACACATTTGCTCTGCTGTGGATGGTTGACCGTGTAATGACCCATATAAGCCAAGATTCAGACAGTAAAGGATATTTAGTGTGCACAGACTCAGATCAAAACGTAAGTGTTTGTCTCTTATGTCGTCAATAATATTCAGTACAAAGTACACATCCATTGGTTTTCGTTCCTTTCTGGCATGTTTAGTAGCCTACTTGGATCTTTTTTTCTCTCTTTCAGCATAAGACGGAAACATGATTAAGGTTTTGGCTGTTGTAAGTTTAACTGCATTTCTCTGCTGCTACGGTATGTTGTTTTCCCTCTTATTGTTGTTGAACAATTTCAATGAATGATTCAAGTTGAATGATTCTGTCTTTGTTTAGAAGGTGTGCAGAGTGCTGAACTATCATATCGTGACTTAAGAGAACAAATCCTCAACTCTGGGACTGTAGTCTTTTTAGACTTCCTGGACAAAGTCAGAAACGTTACAGAGAAAATAGTGAGAGATGATCAGTTCAGGAAATCTAGGTAAGACGAGCAGTGGATAATGTACCTTAAAGTGTCTGCTACTGATATTTAACAGCTTCCTTATCATAACCTTTTTACATTTTTACAGGATCACTGTCCAAAGATTGATGAAATCATTAAGAGAGTTTGCAAAACCAATGAAAAATACAGAGAGTGCTAGCGGGAGCCAGGATAAGTCAGATGTGTTAACACAGTAAGTCTGTCCAACGGTCTCAAATACTGTGTAATGATAGTAATGTTATGTTTATTCTAAGCACAAGTCATGAATATAAATCTCAAATGAACCAGTTGAAAAGTTAGCATGATTCTTAATACTGTGTCATTACCTGGATGTTTTATGATAGATGTTAATGAGTTCTTTGTCCTGAGCAGTGAAACTGTTCTATAGAAAAGGTCCTGCACCTTCTTGAACCCCTTCCAACAGTAACTGTATGATTTTTGGATCCATCTTTTCACACTGAGGACTCATACTTAACTATTACAAAAGGTGCAAGCGTTCATTGATGTTCAAAAAGGCAAAACGGGGGGTGTAAACTTTTGAACAGAATGATTGGTGTGAATTGTTTGTGTTTTGTTTAAAGATCTTTTTTTTGTTTTGTTTAGTACTGCCCTTAAGAAGCTTCAGAACATTTATTTAAGTCACATTTATTTATATACAGAACTTTAAAGATCATCTCAAAGCAACTTTACTTTTAATAAACAGGAAAATAAGAGCGTTAACGTAAAGTGAATCAATTATGAAACCAATTAAATTTCAGCTGTGAAGCAGATCTTCAGAAATTAGTGTTATTGTCCTCCCCAAGTCAATTCAATAACAGTGTCAATGTTGCAAAGTTCATCAGATATGAAACCATTTAAATTTGGCTATAAATCATCTCTATGGAAGACAATGGTTTCATTATTTAGCTCAATTAGTGTCATTATCCGGCTCAATTCAGTTCAAATTTTGTCCTCCACCGATAGTGTCAGTGCAGTTAAATCGATAATGTCCCTGAATATTAATTGTTGTTTAAACCCTGATTCCAGAAGACAAAATAAGAATAATTTAGACCAACATCTTTCCTCTGCTTCCGCTATTGTTATAGTTGTGGTGTGGACTCACTCTGCTATTTACTTAGAACAATTAGTTAGAATGATTTTTAGGATCTCATGGTTATAGTTAGAACTGGTCACAATTATTAGATAAAGAACAAATTTGTCTTATTTTATTTATGTAGGATTTTTGGTGATTTAAAAAAATATATTTATATTGCCTGTTCTTTATTTTACAGGAGACTTTTTCCGTTCATGGCTGCTGGTACATTTGCGGCATCGATCAAGGAGATTTTTGACAAAATGTTCTTTCCGTAAGAGCTTTATCATATTTACACATTCTTAAAACACTAAAGGATCTTGTTTACTTCTGACAAGTTCTCTGAATCCCAATATAATACCTATGAATGTGCTCTACAGGTATTTAAACATCTACCGTCAGAGCTTCAAAAACGAGACGATGGTGGAGATCTGGAAGTAAGCATCAGTTCATTGAGAGTGGAGAACACCAGATCCAGTGTTCCTTTGTCAAAGTGCTTATCCAAGATGTGATTGTGCACTGGCCTTACAAATCCACCCTCCAAACCATGTACCTTTTGTTTTGCTCATAACTTGATTTATTCATCTGACTTGTTATTACAGAGAAGTGGAGTCATACTATTTTCCAGGAGCCCCTCCAATCTACAGTAAACCCATGGAGTTCTCCAGTTACCTTCTGGCCAAGGCGTAGGACCTCTCTATAATTTAATTTAAACTCGTTTAATGTTGTATTTAAAATATTATCAGCAATGAGCTATGCGCAGATTCTACGGAGCCCCTAAAGGGACATGGTGAAGGAAAACCTATGAGATGGGAGGAAAAATAATGTCAATGCTTTTGCGTTCTCTTCCAGAGGTTTTGCGAATGAAAGCAACGTGTCTTGAAGGAACACACCGTTTCTCGGGGAAATGCAAAGCTTTTGCGAGCGAAGGCAAAGTTTCTTGGGGGAACGCAAAACTTTTGTGAGGGAACGCAAAGGTTTTGCGAGCGAAAGCAAAGTTTCTTGGGGGAACGCAAAACTTTTGTGAGGGAACGCAAAGGTTTTGCGAGCGAAAGCAAAGTTTCTTGGGGGAACGCAAAACTTTTGTGAGGGAACGCAAAGGTTTTGCGAGCGAAAGCAAAGTTTCTTGGGGGAACGCAAAACTTTTGTGAGGGAACGCAAAGGTTTTGCGAGCGAAAGCAAAGTTTCTCGAAGGGAACGCAAAGGTTTTGCGAGGGAATTCGGCGGTTTTGCCAGCGAAAGCAAAGTTTCTTTAGGAAACTCAAAAGTGTTGCGAGCGAATACTGAGTTTCTCGGGGGAACGCAACATTTTTGCGAGTGTAAGCTAGCAACATTTCTTATGGGAGAACGCAAAAGTTTCTCGAGGAAACGCAAAGGTTTTGCGAGCAAAAGCAAAGTTTTTTGGGGGAACGCAAAGTTTCTTATGGGAGAACGGAAAAGTTTCTCGAAGGGAACGCAAAGGTTTTGCGAGCGAAAGCAAAGTTTCTTGGGGGAACGCAAAAGTTTTGCGAGGGAATACAAAGGTTAGGCGAGCGAATACTGAGTTTCTCGGGGGAACGCAAAACTTTTGAGAGGGAACGCAAAGGTTTTGCGAGCAAAAGCAAAGTTTTTTGGGGGAACGCAAAACCTTTGTGAGGGAACGCAAAGTTTCTTATGGGAGAACGGAAAAGTTTCTCGAAGGGAACGCAAAGGTTTTGCGAGGGAATTCGGCGGTTTTGCCAGCGAAAGCAAAGTTTCTTTGGGAAACTCAAAAGTGTTGCGAGCGAATACTGAGTTTCTCTGGGGAACGCAACATTTTTGCGACTGTAAGCTAGCAACATTTCTTATGGGAGAACGCAAAAGTTTCTCGAGGGAACGCAAAGGTTTTGCGAGTGAACGCAAAGTTTCTCGGGGAACGCAAAACTTTTGCGAGGGAACACTAAGGTTTTGTGAGCGAACACTAAATTTCTCAGGGGAACGCAAAACTTTTGCCAGTGAACGCTAAAGCATTGACATATATTTTTTTCCTCCCATCTCAAATTTTTTTCCCATCACCATGTCTCTTTAGGGGCTCCATGAGATTCTGTGATGATTACACCGTGTCAACGCCGGACGCAACCGTTGACGTGTCGCATCTCGAAAAAGTTACCGTTACAAATCCATTTGTCATTCCTATTAGAAATATCGTGGGTGCATGGAGTATGTCATAAATTGAACGAGGCATCAGTTTACTGTTGGGAATGTGTCGCGCTGTGCTGCGCTGCGCCACATCCAGTGTAGACAACATCACTGATTTGAATGGTTTCTATTGTCTTTTGGCGCTTCGCATTGCGCCGTTCACATCCAGTGTAGACACGGTGTTAGTAAAACATGCATTGTACTACAAAGTAATTTTACTTGTAGTTTTTAAGTATAGCATATTAAAAGGTGACATTCTGTATTTTGACATTTAAAAGGGTGGTGAGATCCCGGCTGGTGAACATGCTTGAAGCAGGGGTGGATACTGTTTTGGACATCGGAAAAATAGATTTTAACCAACTTCATGAGGAGTAAGAGCTGTTTTAAAGCAATGCTGTTAAAGCAAATAGCAACTATGGATTAATGATGCAATAAAATGGATGCATTTTATATTATTGTCCTCCAAACAGTGTTAAGTTAAGCTAAAATGCACACATAAGCCCATGACAAAAAATTATTCCATTTCATAAAGTGTAATTTTAACCACTTGTTATCTCCTCCGAAGAGTGCAGATTGTTTTGGATCAGATTAGAAACAAAGCTTTTGAAATGTCAGTTATGGAAAGGCAAAAAGAGAAGAATGATTTCCTTATATCATTAAGGTAAGAACCTTTGTTAATATTAATTCCAAACTTCAATATTTTACCTAATGACATCTCTCAATAAAAAAAAAATTCTCTTCTGTGTTTCCTAGAACCGCATCTGGACTGATTGTTTTTTACTGGGATGAAGTTTTGAAACACACTGAAAGTCCGTCGTTCCATGCGAAATACTTGGATTCTAGGAAGTAAGACTATGCTACTGATTGACAGGTTGATAAATATAAAGTAAAATGAGCATTAAAAAAAATGCCTGAATTTTGTGTGTTACAGGCAATGGGCAGAGCTGATTGAGTTGAGAAACGCAAGTGAAAAGTATCATGTGCTTTTAGACCCGGATACAAGGCATGGTCTTTTGAAGTAAGGAAGACATGCTCAAAATGTTGAATATTACAAATGTCATTTAAACCACTACATAATTAATAGTTATACCTTGGTATTTCTTATCCTTTCAGGCAACTAAAACTATTTCATAATTATCACTTGAACGATTATGATCCTTCTATTGTGTTCCCCCGAGAAATATAGTTTTTCCTCCCACCTCATGTCTTTTCCATCACAAAAGTTTTGCAAGTGAACCCAAAGTTTCTCTGGGGGATGCTAAAGTTTTGCGAGTGAAAGTCAAGTTTTCTTTGGAGGAATGGCATGCAATACTGTTGAGAGAGAAGCAAAAGTTTTGCAAGCGAACACAAAAGGATTTAAATATATATATTTTTCAAACCATTACCATGTCCATTTACCCCTGTGAGGGGATTGGCTTACCGTGTTATCAATGGCATCCACTGTATAAAGCTCCCAGATCACTTATAATTTTCCAGAGCTCATGTTGTCTAGAGTTTTTTTCATCTACTGAAATTTCTTGGAAAGATATTTTTGCAGTGTTTCATCAGCAGAACGATCCAAAAACACATTAAATAACAATAGCCTACAACCCACTGAAGATATGTATGTCTATCCCTCACAGCCCTGCTTTTATTCCCATTAAAAATCAAAATCATACTGTGGTTTACAGTTCTAAATTCATTGTAAACTACAGCTTCTCAGGGCTTATTGATTTTATAAAACGGTTAGTCCATAAAAAATATTTTATTTAAATATTAAGTAATAAGGTCACGCGTATCCTCGTAACGTTAGTAGAGTAATGTCGAACGCGGCTCCAACAATCAGAATCCAGGGCTGGAATATTTATTTTTACTGTAACTGCATAATGATAGTAATTCCGATTTTCTTTTCTATAGTTGGACTAAACTTCATTTTGATAAATTCTTTGACGCCTTGGAACTGGAATATTACAGTCGTGGAAATGAAGCTCTTGGTTTGGACAGATTCAATCAGTCTAACTGGCAAGTGGACATCTATACTGGATGAAATTAAACATAATTTGTGATTAATGAATATGTAACCGTGCATCTGATACTTTTGATTTGATTTGTGAGTAGCTTAAGGAAATAACAGTTTGTGATTCAAAAGTTGTTCATCTGTTGTTTCCGATATTAATGACACGAAACATGTAGATATACTTCATAAACATCTGTGAGAATTTTAGGCGATAATAATGACTAATCAAAGGTAAAACAAAGATGATCCCTCCATTTTGTTCAGGGCTATTGGCAAAAGCGCTGTTGTTTACTCTCTTCCTGTTTATGAAAAACTTTCTGAAGTCGGCTTTGGGATTACTGAGATCAACAGGTTTCTGCATAGAGTAAATCACATAACCCTTATTCTTGAACGGAATGATAGATCAAACAGGTAAGGAACATTAAGCATGGCTCATGTTTAATTATATCATATTGAATTAATATGTAAATCTTAAAATAGTAAGACATTGTTTTGGTTTGCTTTTCTCTGTCTTGCAGACAGACGTTTTTGGAGGAAATCATTAGGTTAATTTTGTATCCGTTTAGTCGAATTATTGAACGGGAGATAACCCGGAGCGAAGATAATCAACTAGTACTGCCTTTGCGGTAAGAGAAAGTAAAACAACAACAACAATCAAACAGTGAATACATGATCTTGTTATATGATCACCTTTCAGTAAAGACAAGTTGTATGTTCTTGATATATTCATCTAGAAGACTAATGGTTTGTGCTCTGTATGCATATATAATATATTCCTCTTCATAATCTTCTTTTGTTTGCTATAGCGTAATTAGGAGACTGTTCCTCGTATTTTGGGATTTTTTTCTCTTCTTTGAAAAACGTTTTGAAAATACCGCTACTGAACTCCAGCAATCAGTGAAGTAAGAAATGTTAATTTTATCCTCTTTATTCTTCATATGGGGAGGTTGGAAATCTGGTTAAAACACTGCCTAAATCTGAGACACTATGTTGGCTGAAATTTAGCATGTTCTTGTGTATGATTTTTGCAATCAAATAATCAATCAGAAATGGTATAACTTATATTTTACAGTGAATGGAATCAAGTGAAGAGCGTCGTCATTAATGAGCTGTTGACAAGTGAAGCATTTACCCGAAAGCAGCTTGAAGAAGCACCAAAGTAAGAGGAACAAGAACGATCAAGTGTTATTTTAGGAACTAGGATTTATTTATAAAGACATGTTGAGACATGTATTCTCTTCACTCCCCTTTTTGATTGAATGATTTCAGCTTTGTTTGATCTTTTTGAAATAAGTTTATATTTGACAAGTTATTTTTGTTGTTGTTTGAATCATGAAGGAACTTTGTTCAAGCCATTCATCGAATCCTAAAGAAACTGAAGCAGTATACTGATCTGGTTGATGGCTTTGATGAAATGATTGATCGAACTGCTACGTAAGATTTATAATTTCCATACCATATTTGCATTTGAACAGAAGCTATATAGATAAATATACATTCTTATTCCATCTTCGCAATTTTAATTTTTCCCACAGAGCCTTCGAGACGTCAATGCATCGCACAAACATAGGGATTCATAAAGTCTGGGATATGCTAGTGGAGTAAACTCTCTCTATGAATGAAATGTCAGGATTGTAGAGGCTTGAAAAATGAAATGAAAAAATGTAATAGTGACTTTTAATCTCACAATTCTGACTTTTTTTTTCTTCCAGAATTGCAAGTCCGAATTGTGATATATATCCTAAACTCACAATTTTGAGTTATAAAATCAGAATTTGCAAGATATTAACTAATATTTTGAATAAATAAAGTCAGAATAAATAAAGTCCCAAGAATAAAAGTCAGCTCACTATTCTGACATTTTCTCGCAATTGCAAGTATACGTCCCGCAATTCTGAATTTATATCCTGCAATTGAAAAAAGAAAATTTCGAATTGTGAGATGAAAAGTCACAATTACCCTTTTTAATGTTTGATTCTTTCATATGATTGCAGCTGCTGTCAATAAGTAGGATTATACCAGCAATGTATTATTAACAGTACATAACATGTTGTTATTGAAAAAAAAATAAAAAAAAAAATACCATGATAATTACGTAAGTAAATACTGAGTAAAAAAAGTTTTGTTCTACTGTAAACTTTGTTTTTACATGATAAAAACTGTTTGTTTAGATTTGTTATACATCTTCCAGCATCTAAACACATTAATCAACAACATTTGGATCTATTTTCATGTGTTAATTTGCACTTGACAGTGTAATTTTCCCACTTAATATTAAGTGTCTATGTACTATGTACTAACATTTAAATAAATAATTTGATACAGTGCAAATTACTCAAAAATACTCATCAAAAATGTGTCCCTGCAGTATTAAATGGCAACGATAACAAAACTAAAATTGATTTGATACTGGCAATACTTTTTTTGTTACACTGACCATATCAAAATGACTTTTATGTGACATCAATTTATGTAAATTTAAGACAAATTATGCAGGATAAGCAGGTCTATTTTACGAGTGTAAGCCCGTCTGGATCGGCCCAAGGCATCCGATAGAACGGGTGAAGGTCTCTGCACGTTAATGCCTTTCAGCGTGGCAAAGTAATTTAATTCCGTTTAAGCTGTTATCTGACTCCATTTTATATCTGACTCCATTTTATCACGGCCTCGAATTTAGGTTAGATTTCCAATTGGTTATCCGACATTATAAAATACATGATGTGAAGTGTCAGCATACACTCCGCATCACGGGCTAGTTTGAGTTACAAATCGCCACAAGCCTTCTTCAGCATCTCCCTAAATACTCAGGCCAAGGCAGGAACCTCTTTTCAAATATAAACATGAGTTCACAGTGGGAATTTGTATTAATCACCGTCCCAGACTTACTGGGGACAGAAGTTGATTTACATGGGGACACACCCACAGCAGTTAACAAGATATAAATGTAAACTCTCCACACCTTATTACCTTTTTGGTTTACTTCTGTGGGAATGAGACCTTTGTACCAATCGCACTGAGACATTTCAAATGATACCAAACATGTATAATACTGTGTGATTATTGTTCATATTAAACCATATCGATTTTCGGGTGAATTCAGGTAGGGATGGGTGAAGGGAATGATGTGTAAATTGGGAGGTGATCAACTCAAGTGGGATCGTGTCTCGAAATAATAGGTATGGTAATATAGCAGGAGAATTCAAATGTTTATTTCCTTTGTTTTCTTAGAGAGTAGCCCTCTCTTCCAGTTCTCAGTTTCTCCAGTCTTACATCAGTATGTAAAAATAAACAATATTAACACTAGTGGAAAAGAGAAGGAGCATCCTGATTGGCTGACTTTTACTGACCCTAAAAACTGATGTTGACTGAAGAAATATTGATCAGAAACAAAGTGCATTGAACTCATGACCTAAATTCAATTTAATATTGACAGATTGCATTTTTTGCGTAAAAAAAAAATGCATAAGCCCTTGCAATCTGACATTGTACCATATTTACTGTCAAATATTCATATAGTTTACTATTTACTATATTGTTACACTTTATTTCAATTCTTCACTTTATACATTCTATAACTAGTAACTTTTCAACTGCATGTCAACTTTCTCACATTAGAGTATTAGTAAACTGTTCGGGTTGGTAGAATAAGTTGACGTACTTGCAAAGTTACATATCAGTAGAATGTCTGTTGGGGTTTTGCAGATATTAAGCAGACAGACAGTCTACATGTAGTTGCAAAGTTACTTATAATTAGAGTGTCTAAAGTGGAGTATCGAAATAAAGTTACCAAAATATCAACCTGACCCAAACCTGATGTTAAACTTTCAAATGAAAAGAGGCATTTAAACATACTGTGACCTTAAGAAGAGTTTACATTGAACCGATTGCAATGAAGTTGGTGTTTGCACAGATGAAAGTTCATATTAATGGAGATAAAGTTCAGTCTAGGTTTTGACTCTTGACGTTAACGGACAGTCCACAGTGGACATGTTGTGAACGTTTTCTTCGTTTTTTTTTGTTCTGGGAAAGAAACAGTAATATGAATAAGTCACTGGTCATCTTAATCTTAACTGTTCTTCTCTCTAAAGGTAAGCTAATGTTTCTTTTCTTATATTTTTAAATTCCAATTTATATCTGACTCCATTTTATCACGGCCTCGAATTTAGGTTAGATTTCCAATTGGTTATCCGACATTATAAAATACGTGATGCGAAGTGTCAGCATACACTCCGCATCACGGGCTAGTTTGAGTTACAAATCACCACAAGCCTTCTTCAGCATCTCCCTAAATACTCAGGCCAAGGCAGGAACCTCTTTTCAAATATAAACATGAGTTCACAGTGGGAATTTGCATTAATCACCGTCCCAGACTTACTGGGGACAGAAGTTGATTTACATGGGGACACACCCACAGCAGTTAACAAGATAAATGTAAACTCTCCACACCTTATTACCTTTTTGGTTTACTTCTGTGGGAATGAGACCTTTGTACCAATCGCACTGAGACATTTCAAATGATACCAAACATGTATAATACTGTATGATTATTGTTCATATTAAACCATGTCGATTTTCGGGTGAATTCAGGTAGGGATGGGTGAAGGGAATGATGTGTAAATTGGGAGGTGATCAACTCAAGTGGGATCGTGTCTCGAAATAATAGGTATGGTAATATAGCAGGAGAATTCAAATGTTTATTTCCTTTGTTTTCTTAGAGAGTAGCCCTCTCTTCCAGTTCTCAGTTTCTCCAGTCTTACATCAGTATGTAAAAATAAACAATATTAACACTAGTGGAAAAGAGAAGGAGCATCCTGATTGGCTGACTTTTACTGACCCTAAAAACTGATGTTGACTGAAGAAATATTGATCAGAAACAAAGTGCATTGAACTCATGACCTAAATTCAATTTAATATTGACAGATTGCATTTTTTGCGTTAAAAAAAAATGCATAAGCCCTTGCAATCTGACATTGTACCATATTTACTGTCAAATATTCATATAGTTTACTATTTACTATATTGTTACACTTTATTTCAATTCTATAACTAGTAACTTTTCAACTGCATGTCAACTTTCTCACATTAGAGTAGTAAACTGTTCGGGTTGGTAAAATAAGTTGACGTACTTGCAAAGTTACATATCAGTAGAATGTCTGTTGGGGTTTTGCAGATATGTAGAGACAGTCAGACAGTCTACATGTAGTTACAAAGTTACTTATAATTTGAGTGTCTAAAGTGGAGTATCGAAATAAAGTTACCAAAATATCAATCTGACCCAAACCTGATGTTAAACTTTCAAATGAAAAGAGGCATTTAAACATACTGTGACCTTAAGAAGAGTTTACATTGAACCGATTGCAATGAAGTTGGTGTTTGCACAGATGAAAGTTCATATTAATGGAGATAAAGTTCAGTCTAGGTTTTGACTCTTGACGTTAACGGACAGTCCACATTGGACATGTTGTGAACGTTTTCTTCGTTTTTTTTTGTTCTGGGAAAGAAACAGCAATATGAATAAGTCACTGGTCATCTTAATCTTAACTGTTCTTCTCTCTAAAGGTAAGCTAATGTTTCTTTTCTTATATTTTTAAATTCGTTGTAATCCGGTGGTATTTGATCTCTTATTAGACACAGCAGCTCTCTTAAAAGAGTGATAATCTCAATCTCTCAATGCCTTTTTTTTAAACATATGCTGCGGTCATATTCAGTCATTGAATGTTACTATTGCTTATTATAATTGAGTTGATTCTGATTTGATTTCTTATACAGGTGTGGAGAGTGTGAGCCTAACAGATGAAGACTATGAAATGGCAGACAAACTCTTCACAATGGGAGCTGAAGGGTTTTTGAAATACTTGGAGAATTTAAAGGCGGCAGGAGTGGTGGTTGTGGAAAGAAATGGGATCAACAAAACAGGGTAAAAACCAGAAATTTATGATGCAGGGTTATTATTGTTGTTAACTTAAAATAAAACTATTAAAACATTTCTGTTATTTGAAATAAAGCTGGAATAAAATAATATATAAATATGAGAAAATTTTGAAATGTTGTAAATGTTTGAAAAGTTAAAGCACTAAAATTATTAACTAGAAATAAATAAAAACTAAAATGAATAAAAAATTAAGCTAAATAGCAATATTTAAATGATAAACAAAAAACTAAAACTTTTTACATTTATTGCTATTTGTACTAATTGTAAAGAAAATACTTTTTGTTGCTATACTTAGTGTAATTATCATCTATTGATAATTGCACATATTTGCACTTTATTTGCATCGCTGCACTAAAATAATTAACTATAAATAGATCAAAACTCAAAAGAGATAAAAAAAAATGATGCCTACATTTTTTTAATAAAAGAATAAAATGACAAAAGCAAATCTTAAAATTACTAAAAATTAATAAAATATTAAAAATTTAAATATAAATATAAATAAAACAATGGGATGACCGTTAATATGCACTCTATGAATAAAAAAATAGTTTATGGATGTTTTCTTCAACACTAAAACAACACAATGTTGTGATTTAAACGTGATTTAAAAGACGAGAAAACCGCTTGTGAAAAATTTAGTACAGAATATGTCTTCACATTAACACTTTATAATTGGACCATGTTCTTACAGACTTTTCTCTGAGCCTGGAGTATAATTCAGTCCCTCCTAACACGACCCTTGTTTCCTGTGTTGTACAGCACTGATATGCAAGACTTGTGGATTTCTGTGAAGGAGCTGATCGAGAGGATCAGTGCTCAGAAAAGAGTTAAAGGAAATGATGATTTCATTGTGGCGCTGCAGTAAGTAGAACTTTATCCACTTGATACAAAAACCTCTGCACTTTATAATTATACAGCGATCTTGAACATTGAAATACTGCTAAGGCTGAACATGATATATTTAAGGAACTCTTCTGAACTATTTCAAACATCAGTTTATTTGTTTGTGTGTTTAACAGCATTTTTCGACGACTGGGTGATCTTTATGGAGACGGTATGTTTCGCCTGTGGAGAGCATTACCTGATGAGATTCCTAGGTATGAAGGCCATTCAGCTGATTAATTTATTGAAAAATATTGAGTATTTGACTGGTCTCATGTCACAAAAGACTGATGACTCTGTTCTTCTACAGAGAATTTGGCATGTTTAAAGGGATCATCAAAAACGAGAAGGTGGTGGACCTCTGGAAGTAAGCATGTTTTTTTTTTTTTTGCTTGCAAGATGATTGAAAATATTTGATTTGAAATAGCTAGTATAAAAATGCATCCATTGAACAGTTCAAATCCACCACCTCTAACATGCAGATCAACCTTCTCAAGATTTATTTTCAATCATTGATAACGCAACCGTAGCTCATCAGTTTTGTTTAATGCAGATATGTGGAGTCACGCTACCTTCCAGGAGCTCCGCCGATCTACAGCGATCCCGTGGGGTTCCTCGGTCACCTTCTGTCCAAGAAGTATGACCTCAAGCTCTTTTACAGTTTCTTTCCCAATGTAAAACAATACAAGAATATACAGTGTATATGACATAAATATCTTAAAAATATGCTAAATTAAAGTGAGATGTAATTATAAATTATATTTGTGTTGTGTAAGATGTTTGTCTAAAATTTAAAAAACATTCTATATTGAAATGTCTTCACCTGAACTTTTATTTTTTACTAATACATTATTAATTTCAAAAGTTGTATCTGTTAATATTTAATGGACACGTACTAACAATGAACAATTGTGTTTTTAACTGATGTTGACAGATTAATAAATACTGTAACAAACGTATTGCTCATTGTTAACCAACATTAACTAATCAGACCTTATTGTAAAGCGTTACCAACAGGTTATTTTTCATGTTGACAGGATATTGTTTTCTTTGTTTTAACAGGATGGCACAGCCACGTGTGGTTGAAATCCTAAAAGTTGCTTTGGAAGTTGGGAAGATAGACATCAATCAACTTTTTGATGAGTAAGACCTATTTTGTCTTGCATTGCTGGGTCAAAGCATACAAAATCAGTGATACTTCTGGCATTTAAGTTGTTTCTTTCATGCAGGTCCTTTTTCCTGTAGAGTAACACATGCAAATGCACTCAGATGACAAATATAGATTTTTGTAGGTCATCATTTAATTCTCAGTAATACTTTTTAGAGCACAAATGGCCATACATCTGGTCAAAGAGAAGGCCATGGAAATTTTCACCTTAGAGAGGCAGACAGAGAAGGATGAGTTTCTGATAACATTGAGGTAAGAACATACAGCAAGACTGTGTGTGTGTGTGTGTGTGTGAGAGAGAGGTCCTGGTATATACAATTTCCCAACAAGGATTGTGATATCAGAAAACCCTTGTAGAGAAATATTTTGGTCCCCATGAGGAATCAGCTTATTATGGAAGCTTGTTTCCGCCACAGAATGAAAAATAAAAAAGGTAATTGCGACTTTATCTCACAATTCAGACTTTTTATCTCACAATTGCGAGTTTACATCTCGCAATTCTGACTTTATTTCTCAGAATTGCGAGATATAAAGTCAGAATTGCGTGATATAAAATCGCAATTGCATGTTATAAAGTCAGAATTGCGAGATATAATGTCAGAATTGATTGATATAAAGTCGCAATTGTGTGTTATAAAGTCAGAATTGCGTGATATAAAGTCGCAATTGCAGATTATAAAGTCAGAATTGCGAGATATAAAGTCAGAATTGATTGATTTAAAGTTGCAATTGCGTGTTATAAAGTCAGAATTGCGTGATACAAAATCGCAATTGCGTGTTATAAAGTCAGAATTGCGAGATATAACGTCAGAATTGATTGATATAAAGTCGCAATTCCAGGTTATAAAGTCAGAATTGCGAGATATAAAGTCAGAATTGATTGATATAAAGTCGCAATTGCGTGTTATAAAGTCAGAATTGCGAGATATAAAGTCAGAATTGATTGATATAAAGTCGCAATTGCGTGTTATAAAGTCAGAATTGTGTGATATAAAGTCGAAATTGCGTGTTGTAAAGTCAGAATTGTGAGATATAAACTATTCTTAGGGGAAAAAGTTAGTCTTTTTCCCCCCTTAGAATTGGCCTGATAACTCGCAATTGCGAGTTTATATCTCACAATTCTGAGAAAAGATGTCAGAATTTCAAGATATAAACTCGCAATTGTGTGTTATGAAGTTAGAATTGCGAGATGTAAACTCGCAATTGTGAGAAAAAAAGTCAGAATTGTGAGATAAAAAGTTGCAATTCTGTCTTTTTTTCTCGCAATTGCGACTTTATTTTGCGACTTTATATCTCGCAATTGCGACTTTATTTCTCAGAATTGCGACTTTATATCTCGCAATTGCGACTTTATTTCTCACATTTCTAACTTCATATCTAGCAATTGTGAGATAAAAAGTCGCAATTATTTATTTATTTATTTTTATTCAGTGGCGGAAACAAGCTTCCATAGCTTATAAATCATAAAGAATTATGTTTTTTTTGTGTTTTTTTTACGGTTTCTGTGAGGGATGTGTTCAGTGCTAGGGTTAGAGGATAAATGTACAGTTTGTACAGTATGAAACTCATTATGTTATGACAACTCTCTGGAGTCCACATAAAACATGGAAACCCAACATCCTTGTGTGTGTGTGTGTGTGTGTTTTATTTAGATAGAAAATCATTTATTTACATCTCTCATGTTCTCATATTAATCGTTGAAAATGTTGAGCTGTTAAGGCAGCTATACGTTTTTTAATAATAATTATTCTGTAATTTACGGACTGTGTTTCATAGAACTGCCTCTGGAGTTCTTGCATTTTACTGGGATAAACTTTTGGAATACACTGAGAGCCAGCCATTCCATAACAAGTATTTAGCTGCTGTACGGTAAGACTATCATCATATTAGTATATTTGATCCGGGTGGTAGTCTTAAATAAAGCAAAATGTGGAATGATAAATTGTATAATAAACTGAGTTTTGAGTCGTTTGTGTTGCAGGAAATGGAAGGAGTTAAACATTTTGAAAGACACTGAAAAATATCACATGATTACTAAACCAGAGACAGGACTTCAAGCTTGGACGTAAGAAAATATCACATGTATCGTTTTTGTCATTTCAATTCAGTTGTAATACCATTTTACAGCTGTTTGCTGCCTGCTAAGGAAAAAACACGTGAAAGGTCTCAAGATTTGAGACTTTGGGTTATGAGCTTTTCTCTCTGTGTAAATAGCATCACAGTTGAAATAAGAACTGTTTTTGTGACTTCTGTCTTGTAATACCTATGCCTAACTCCTCCTCTTTATCCAGCTGGGCAGATGAGCGTTTTGGTGATCTTTTTGACAATGCTGCCCTTGAATATGATCGATTTGGTAATGGGATTTTTGGAGATGACAGATTCAATCAATCCAATTGGTGAGTATGACAGTACGTTTCATTCAATGCACACTGTACATAATAAATGACTGAATTAATGACTTATAATAACTAACTGGGACTACAGACGGCATGAATCACAAAAATCCATGAATCATTCATAATGCTGTTACCCTTATTGTGTGGTTATGAATGTGTTGCATTCGTTTATTAGTCTGTTTGAACATCCTTTGAATATATATATGCATAAATGTATGCCCATTCAGTCTGTTCTTTTATTACACAGGGCCATTATGAAGATGGCGACAGTATATCCTCTTCCGATTTATGAAAGATTGTCTGAAAGTGGCCTTGGATTGTCTGAAGTCAATGATTTTTTTATAGGCACTGATGACACACTCACTGAATTAGTAGGCGAGGACATCTTGTACAATTTGAAGTAAGAACGTACTTGTTTGAACTGTTCAATCTGGGGACTATGAATTTCTATCATAGAGGCCCAAATACAAAACACATTTGAGCAATTGCACCTGTACAAATACAATAATGTACAGATAAACGAAACTTATGAATATACCCAGATGGCAACATATTGTTGGCCCACATCTGGTACACATGGATTCCACACGGGCGGATCTGGGCCGACACACTTTGTTGCTGTCTCGGTTCATCTAATGATTCATCATTATCATTTGCTCATAAATGCAATAATTTCCCCTTCTGTCGTGTTCCAGGGGTATGCTTAATGAATTATGGAATATTATTAGTAATGACATTTTGCATATCTCCATAAACAAGAAAAACCAAGTGACATCAGATGTGGAAAGTGAGGACCCAATGCGACATTTACGGTAAGATACGTAAAGTCCTGATATTTGTAGTATATGATTAACTGTATAGATGGTTTCTCTGAGATGCCAAAACAATTTATGATGAACACATTTTGATGGTCCACTTTAGACATTCTATGAACCCTTAAATGCATGAATGTTTCACAAACATTATTACATATTTGGGTCTTTAGAGATCCGGATCTATATCTAACACTGATGGATCTCTACCTGTCGTGATAATATAAACTCTCCTGATATTACAGTAACAATTATAGAGGAAAAAAATAAAGCATATTTTGTTACCTTTTGAAGCTTGGAAGGGTTCAGTTTGAACAGATGTTTTCTCATCACTGTCTTCGTCAGAGCTCATTTCCCAGTACATTCAGCGTCTGGCTCATATTCACAATCTCAAACATGTTCTCAAAACTAGCATTTTCAACATCTTCAAAATCAATATTTTGATCGCTTCACCAGATCCACCGTCAGGTGACAGTGACACTAATATTTGATTGCGTTCAGTACTTGCTCTGCATTAAATCGCTGAGCAATTTTAAGTTTAGCTGATGATACTTCCTATTCTTTTGTTTTTTTGCCTGCAGTAACTATAAGTGAAACGTCAGTTTATCATTGTGTATCAGACATTGCCAGCTTGTGGAATAAAGGTGAATTGCACTTATTCAGTCATCAAAGATTAAATTATTGTTCTGCAGAATAAATATACTTACACTGTTACACACCTCGGGTCGTAAGTGACCCTATACAATTTGTACAAAAAATGTATGAGAAAACAGGCATTCTTTTATAATTTTATAATTTGTTATATTGTTTATTATGAATTGGTTGAGGAATACTAAAAAGGTTCAACTTTAAAAAATGAATGAAAAAGAGAGGGTAGTCCCGGATCACTAAAGGCATTCAAGGTATGCGTTTAAGGGTTAACTAACTATTCTACTAACTATAAGTAACTTTGCAACTACATTTTTTTCTAATGAAAACTGATCCCAACCATTTTCTTTCTTTTTGTTCACAACAGCAAAATGAAAGCAACGTGCTTTGACATCTGGGACAGAGTTCTCATCGAGATCAACAGAAATAATTATAATTATGGACTTGAGCAATCAGCAAGGTAAAGCGTAACAGAAATATTTTTGTGCTCAAACAATCTGAAAGAAAATCCTGACATTTCCAAACAACACGTGCAGCAAGTTATGAATTATTATTTTTTAAATAGGCAATGGGATGAAGTGAAGAGCATTTTCATTAAAGAACTAACTGACAGTGAAGAATTAACTCAACAGAAGCTTGATGAAGCACAAAAGTAAGAAATGTCACATGTCGGCTACATATAAAATGTCTGAAAATTTACAATTATGCTGTTAATTAACTAAATAACACTTTTTCTGTTTTCTTCACGGTTATAAAGAGTCTTTAATAGTGTCACACAAATTGTCTTCGACAAATATGTAAAAATGGTCGATGGGCTGGAGGAAAGGATCAGTGCTTCCACTGAGTAAGAACTTAAGCCTCATTTGAAAATTTCTGAAATATTTCATTCCAAAATGAGTTACAAAAATATACTATAAAATACTTTCAAATCTAGAAATTTAAATGACTAACTTTTCCATTTTGCAATTCCAGAACTCTTGGCAAATTGATGCTGAAGGCTTTTTCTGCCACAAATACTGTCCTGGTTAATACTCTGGGTTTTCTGCTGTCTGATTAATCTCTCACAAGCCAAGAAGTAAATGCTTCTGCCATCCCGTGTCCTATGATTAATCCTTGTAACTTTCCCTCTTCTATTTCTAGTATAATTGCCATTGCTCAATCCCTGAAGTTGTTGACTGGAATGCTAATAGCGTAGACACCCTTCCTTAGTGAACCCTTCAGCTAGTTCATTTCACCTTCATCTTATTTCATGAGCCTCCATCAACCAGCAGAGGACGCTGACAGTCTGCTTCCACGACCTGCACTATAATGTGAACATCAACCAGAACCACTTTCTTTTGCCGCCATGATAGAAGCAAATAAAAAAATGATACCATCCGACCTTATCTTCTGTAGTTAGAGGATACTATTTATAATAATGTCTTATTTTGATGTCGGTTTTAGATCTGTGTGGCAGTATAATTACAGACACTTAAGCAGCAGACGCATTCAATCTGGAGCAGGGTCTTTCTATTGCATCAGCTCACTTTTGTTTGCAGTGCTGTCATTGTGACTGATTTGTTTGGAGACCAAGGGGGAAGTAGAAGTGGCGAGAAAATGAGCATTAAAGCAACAAAAGATAGATGTACAAGCATTTTGAAATGAAAAAATGAAGCTTTATCAGCACTAGGGTGATGCATGTGTGCACCTGGCTGCTGGTGGAGGAACCAAAAATACAGTACTTTTGTGGAATTTATAATGTATTGTTATTGTCAATGATAGCTTTGTTGCTATATTATGGTGTGGTGTTTAATACTTCATGAACAAGTAAAAAGGTTCCTGGTTTGATCCTCACAAGGACTAAGCCAATGAAAATTCAGTAACCATTGCTATTTATATACAGCTTCATACAAAACAGATTGTTTCAAAGCGGCTTTACAGTAATAAATATCAAAATAATGCTAAATGAAAGTCAATAATGAATGAAATAATGAAATTAAATAATTGAATCAAAAGAATTCAATTCTGCAGTAAAGCAGCTCTAAAAAGATAATAGTGCCATTGTTCAGCTGCAGTTGATTCAGTTCAGTTTAATAACTGTAAAGTTTTTAGTTCAATTCAGCTATAAAGCAGCTCTGCAGAAACAGTGATGTCATTGTCCAGCTCAGTTCAGTGCTCATCCGATAGTGTCAGTGCAGTCAAATCAATAATATTGCTGAATATTGAGTGTCCCCTGCAACTATAAGCAAGCCAAAGGTGACTATAAAAAAAAAAAACCTTCAGGGGGCCAGTTCTCCTCAGGCCAGACGAACACACGTCACAAGTCAGATTGAGGATCGATATCATTTAGGATCTGTTGTGGTCATCTCTAGGTGCATGTCTATCAACTGGTCTGGATATGGATATGGACCGGATCCGGCTGACTACGGTAACTTTGGGATAACCTTAGTGTGTTGTTGTTGGTTGCCAAAATATCTAGCAATGCACTATTAACCACCTTAGCAAGCACTTAGTAACACTAAGTGCTTGCTAAGGTGGTTAATAGTGCATTGCTAGATATTTTGGATTGCTAGATATATTGTTAGGTGGTTGTTTACTTGCCTGATTCAGAAAAAAAGCATATCTGAAATAAAATATTTAACATTTTAAATATAATAAATAAAAAGGTTAATAATTTCTTTGTTTAAAAATCTTCCCATGAATTGTGGTATGTCAATAGCACAACCAGTGCATGACTATTTAAGTGCCAAAGGCGTAATATTTACGATTAGGGGTTTGTTTTTCATCTTAACCCTGTAAAACCTGATATATGAAATAATAGTTTATTGGAACAGTTTGTATCATATTTGAAAAATCAAGCTTTTATGCTTTAAATAGAACAACATAATATAGAGCTCATACTCGAGGATGAAAAAACACCAGTTTTATTCAGAGGTTCAAACTGAGCAAAAATATGCAATTTGGTGAAGTTATTTATAGAGCCAAAAAATATGATGAAATGTGATAGATTGTAATGTAAATCAATGATATCTTCATAACAGTATAGCAGGCTTATTGCATAAAATACATATCATATTTTTTACTCTGTCTTAGCAAGATGATATTTAAATGCTTACTTTTATGATTTAAGCTCTGTAGTTTTCATTCAAAACATACAATGCAATCCAGTGAAGATTGAGACGTACAAATAAATGCTCCTCAAAAGCCTATTGTATCCTATTTAACACTTACAATACACAGTAAAAGTTATTCTTACATTTACTTTATAAAAAAGCATTCCAGATTTCACAGTAAAAAGGCGTTTAACAACCTGAATGTAGATGTTTTTAGAATTATACAATAAGGTTATTTTATTTACTAAAAAAGTATAAATTGTCAATCAGACGACATAAGGCATTTATAGATTGATATTGATCATGTTTGTTGATAATTAGAGGCCAAAATGCACACATCAAAGAAGGTAAGAGGAGTTAAGTATGCGAAATAACAATATTAGCCTTAGAAAGCACCAATAATTAATAGGATTACACACATTACTGCTTAGTTTAAACGCAACAGGACATAACCGGCCCTGTTAAGCGAGATTTAGCAGTCGTATTTCATCTTTTAGAGTACACTAATTGCAGGGACGATTCCCCTGGAGCAGCTTGAGGTTGAGTGTCTTATTGAAGGGCATAGCACAGTGTTGTTAATGCAGGGTTGTTATCTCACTAACAATTTTTCCTGGCTTATCAGGTCTTTAAACATTAGGTTGCTCTAGACTTTAATTAGTGCTCACTGTGGCCTTTATAAAATATGAGACCTTAAGAAATTGTATTCATTTACATTGTTAAAAACACAATTGTCTTGGTATTATTGTTACTGAGCTAATTAGCGAGTTAGATTTGTTTTGTATCTGTTTGTATCACCTCACTTGTCTCACTTGTACCACTTGCTCGTCTGGATTTTTTTCACCCAAAACAGTCCAGTGCAAAAACTCTTCCCTGCAGCATTATTCAATTCTAACCCCTAAACCTGGCTACACCCTAACCGTTATCTGGTTTTGGGGGAAAAGTCATGTGTCCACTATTGGATTTAATCCAGTACCTTCATTACGGTGCAGACTGCAGTGAGGACATGTGGTTCTGCAGTTGGTTATTTATTGACATTTTGGGTCAGTCTAAGTCATAGACAGTATAAGAAAGGGTCTAAGTCTTTGCTTCAGTGGTGCAGACCCTTTCTTTAACTGTAGGTGGCGACAAGTTACTGTCTTTATGAGCGAGACATTGAATCATTCAATCAATCGATTACGAGAGCGGCCTCTAGAGGCGAAATAAAAAATATCACTGATTCTCCTCGTGGAGTTCGACACGTGAAGGCTGCGCGCGCACGGAGCGGGACAGATGCAGTTTTAAAACAGACGATGATATGGTATCTATAAAGTAATCTACAGTATTTTTTTCATGTCATTATAAAGTAAATAATTTGTTGACTAGATGCTGCATTATTGGAGAACTGCAGTAACGTTATGTTTGCCATTGAGGCAGAGAGGATGCTAACATTACCTCAAACGGTTAAAACTGTGAAAAATACAGGCAAGTCTTACCCAAATGTTTAATGTCACGATTTTTACCATCTGTTTGCATTCGTTTATATCCAGATGGTCATTTTTATGCATTCGTTTGCAAGCAAAGTTGCATATAAAGCTATTGACTTGAGAAAGCAAATTGATATGTTCATGCAGCTATTCCAGTTCTTTTTTTTATCTCGTCACTGTAACATATTTGTTATTTTGATTAGATAATCATTAAGTGTTCTAAAATAGAAGCAAAAAAGTGAGGGTATACAATACCCAGCAAACACAGAACGTTGGCAGGATGTACCCAACCTTCTAACAACGTTTTAACAACATGGCCAAAAGGGTGAAGGTTGTTAAGGCATTAACATTGACATTGAACCACCGTTCAGGGCCATTGCTTAAGGTTGAGCCAAGTGTCTGGACAATCACTGGACTGGACGTCATGTGCTCGTCACTGCCGTGAAGCGCGAATCAGCCTTTTAAGTTTCAAGCGACGTTGAAATGAGAGAAATTATTGCTGGGAACTACACATTTACAAAGTTATAGGGACAGTTCACCCAAATATAACATTTTGTCAGTAATTACTCACCCTCATGTTGTTCTAACCCCGTAAGACTTTTGTTCATCTTCAGAACACAAATATAGATATTTTTGATTAAATCTGAGAGCTGGATCACTCCTCCATAGGCTTCTATGGGATTGAAACTTGCCGGCCCAGAAAAGTTAAGACATCGTTAAAATAGTCCAAGTGACTACAGTGGCTCAAGTTTATCGAGCGATGAGAATACTTTTTGTGTGCAAAAAACAAACAAAAATAACGACTTTATTCAACTATTCATTTCCTTCTCTGTGGGCCTCGAGTTAGTTCACGTATTGTAACTGCGCAGCGCTTCTGTGTTGTATGTCACACGTAGGCTCACTATTGGCCAACGCTGGTCATGTGTGTGATGCGTGTGACGTTCAAACATGGAAGCGCTGCGCTGTTAAACTACGTGAACTCACTTAAACTTAAGATTGAGCCACTGTAGTCACTTGGACTATTTTAACAATGTCTTTTATAACTTTTCTGGGCCGGCAAGTTTCAATGGAGGAGTGATCCAGCTCTCAGATTTATTTAAAAATATCTCAATGTGTGTTCCCGAACAAGAACGAAAGTCTTACGGGATTTGGAACAACATTTGGGTGTCTAATTACTGACAGTGACAGAATTTTCATTTTTGGGTGAACTATCCCTTTAACTTTGTAAATTTGTAGTTCCCAGCAATAATTTCTCTCTTACATTTGAACAGGTTATTAATCAATATTTTCTGCCCCATTATAGGCCTACTAGCATAGATTATTAAGTGAAAGTGTGTTTCTTTCATATTATGTATTTTAATACTTTAGATGGTTTGTCTTTTTGAATCTCTATTTGATGTCTTATAGATGGACTCTCTAGTGACATTGTTTTTAATTTCACTAAACTATTTTGTGGTTACTTTGCCTCATGTGAAATCACTATTTTCAATCCCAAAACTTAATACCCAACACTTAAAGTAGTTGTATTGTTGCAGCACCCAAA